CAAAGCACTCTTCTCCCTGGACATCACCAAGTCGAGTGGGCCCGATGGAGTCCCTCCCATTGTGTTGAAGACGTGTGCTCCGTAGTTGGCACCGGTTTTAACGCGTCTTTTCCGGTAGTCCTACTCCCAAGGCGTAATCCCGAATTCATGGAAGATAGCTTTGGTCCACCCGATTCCTAAAAAAGGCGACCGCTCAGACCCGTCCAACTACAGGCCTATCGCAATCACCTCCTTGTTCTCCAAAATAATGGAATCCATTATAAACTGTTAGCACATGAGGTACCTTGAGGATCACCAGCTGATTAGTGACGGCCAGTACAGTTTTCGTCGGGGTCGATCAGCTGGTGATCTTCTAGTCTATCTGACTCATAGATGGGCGGAGGCAGTAGAGTCCAAGGGGGAGGCATTGGCCGTTAGTTTGGACATAGCGAAGGCCTTCGATCGGGTCTGGCACAAAGCGCTTCTTTCGAAGCTTCCTTCCTATGGGCTTCCCGAGAAATTGTGCAAATGGATCATCAGTTTCCTTGCTGATCGGAGCCTCAAGGTCATAGTAGACGGTGCATACTCTGATTTCAAGCCTATCAACGCTGGTGTTCCACAAGGCTGCGTGCTATCAGCAACGCTGTTTCTCCTGCATATCAATGATATGTTGCAAGCTGGTAGCATTCATTGCTATACAGACGACAGCACAGGTGATGTCTTATATACCGGCCGTGCCAATATTTCTCGGGAAAACGTCGCTGAGTACCGGGACAAACTTGTGTCTGAAGTCAAGTGTTTGCTTAACAAAGTCTCGGATTGGGGGCGGCTAAATCTAGTCTAGTTCAATCCCCAGAAGACACAAGTTTGCACGTTTACCGCTAAAAAGCACCGTTTTGTCGTATCTCCTCAGTTTCAAGGCACTCCCCTTGCTGCCTCAGCTATCATTGGAATCCTTGGCGTCGACATATCGAGTAGTGTGCAGTTTCGTGGTCACTTGGAAGGGAAGGCCAAATTGGCCTCTAAAAAGCTTGGCGTGCTCAGCAGAGCGAGACAGTATTTCATGCCGGCACATCACTTGCAACTTTAGAAAGCGCAAGGTCGGCCTCACATGGAATACTGTTCTCATCTATGGGCCGGGGTACCCCAGTGTCAGCTCCTTCCACTTGACCGCATCCAGCGCAGAGCTATTCGAATCATCGACGACCGAGTTCTTTCTGATTGGCTCGATACACTGGCACTGCGTAGAGATGTTGCATCTCTATGCGTATTTTATCGCATCTATCACGGGGAGTGCTCTGAGTAATTGTTCGGATTGATTCCAGCCGCTCAATTTCACCATCGCACATCGCGACAAAACTCGCGTTACCATTCATACCATCTGAATGATTGGCGGTCCACCACTGTGCGATTTAGAAGAAGTTTTCTCCCTCGCACAACTTCCATGTGGAATCGATTACCACCAGCGATTTTTCCGGGCCGATACGAGTTAGGAACCTTCAAGAAAAGAGCTTAAACCTTTCTAAAAGGCCGGCAACGCATCTGCAATTCCCCTGGTGTTGCGGTTGTTCATGGGTGGCGGTAGTCACTTACCATCAGGTGAGCCGCACGCTCGTTTGCCCCCTCTTCTATAAAAAAAATTATAAAATTTGACTAGGGCGCCTCCTGGGACTTGGCGCCTGGAGCGGCCGCTCCGTTCGCCCTATGGTAGGGCCGGCCCTGACAATACAGCTCTCTCATTGTATAAGTAAAAGTAAAAAAAGTAACGTATACTTAGCTGTAAAATGTATTGTCGTATATAAGCAGTTACTTTATACTCGTATGTCCCTCCTTAGTCCAGGCAACTTTCTCTCTAAGACGGTTATGAAAAGTGACGGTTGAATATATTGAATGTCTATCGGCATTGCTTTTATTTCACCAACTTTATTTGTTATCAAGTTATATGATGTAAATAATTGAAAATTAAGTGCATTGTGAGATTTTTAACTCTATTTGATGGAATAGTTCGTTGCTTCGTTTGATCTCTAATTACTGTGTAGATGTGGTTAACAATTGTGCTAATGCTTTGTTTCACTTTTATGAATTTTTATTTAAACAAATACGAGAGCCGTTTAGCTTGCCATGAGTTTTCATCATGGCACGGGCGCAGAACGTGTACGATTCCTTTGAAGAAAAATAACTCTTTAATGGTAAATTTTACGTGCTGACTTACCACGTATCCGGTGAAGTGGTAAAGAATAACTTCGTGGTGAAACTAGATGTCCGATTAGTCGAAAATTCGTGGAAATGTGAAAACCGTTAATAATATTGAAGCATTGCGGCATACCTACCTACTCTTTACTGCCCACAAACACTATAGGTAATGTGCACAGTAGTGAGACGTATTTAAGCAGCTACTTTACTTTTTTACCTTTAATGAGACTTATAAATCAGTTTGTTATAGATAACATAGACACTTAGAAGTGTCGATTTACCACGTTCGCGGCGGTGAAGGAAAATCTGCATATCGGAGAAGTTCCCCAGTTAACATGATTCTCCATTGGGATCAGCGCTGCGAACACTTTTTGGCCAAAAACTCTCTGCGGACTGTACCCAGTAGTGACATGTATGTAAGATGCTATGCTTTGATGGGGCAATTATGAAGTTTGTATTGCATTCATATTTTCGGAGATGTTACTTTTTTGTTTTCACTCTACCGTATATATTAAGGGCAGCAAAGATTCGAAAAAGTACAACTAATCATCATCATCATTACAGCGTATCAAAAGTCTACTGAACTTTTATAATTTTGAACTGTTGTCAGGAAGATGATGTTACCCATCCTGTTTGTTTTCCTCTGTCGACTCTTACGACACACACCGTACGATATGAGGCGGCAGATTCTATCTCGCCGCCACACCAAGACAAACATTTTCTACTCCCTTTCATGAGTGTAGTTCTTTCCACGTTCTCTATAAATAGAAATCAAATTGCAGTAAAAGTAATCTTAAGGATTTTATCTAATTTAATTTTTTTTTAATCTTGACGTTTCGGGCACTTTATTGAACCCATGGACACGAATAAAGTGTTTGACGTCCTAATGTAATAGAATTAACGATGACCTCCATCAACTTTTACTTAATAATGATTAGTCCGATCTACGCAGAATGAGCTTATAGTACTTGAAATCTTGCAGTAGTATGCTTGATTTTAATTCAGATTTAATTTTATTACATATGAGATCCCAAGCAGATGGTAGCACACAGCCATAATCTCTATTGAAATAAAAAATGTTTTTTTTTATTTCAAGTTAAAAATAAAAGTGATAAAATCTGTACGATTAATTTTATTCCATGTGTAGTATTCATCATAATTGCAGAACTGCATTTATGAAATTTTGAAGTACACTCGAACTTAAAAAAAATATCAGTATCTATTTTATAGTGCCAATCAATAAATGAAGCCAATGATATGAATCAAATATCGCAAATAAACATTATAACGTAAAGTGATAGTAGACCATGAAATCATCATTATTTTGTTAAAACTAAATTAACTTTAATTATGAATGAATGAAAAGAGTAAAGTGTGAATAATAATAATAATAAATTTTGATTCCAAGACAATTTACCTTTCTCATGGATATATTTTTTATAGGATAAGGGTGACAAATGAGCACACAGTTCACCTGATGGTAAGTGGTTGCTGTGGCCCATAAAAATTTACATCTATCCTCGATTACGAATCAAAATGCAGATGCGTTGTCACCCGTGAGGACTAAAATGGAATGCCTCGCTTCCAGTAAAAAGAGTCTCTGGTTCTCTACACCTACCATACGAAACACAGCAGCGTTAAGCTGCTATTTTATGGCATATATTTTATTTCATTGTTTCGTGGTCCTTCCCAGTTGAGCTGACCTTTTCGTGCTACAACTATACCAGTAATATAGCTGCAGCATGGCTCTACCACGTACAAAATATAAAAAATAGTAGATGTTACTAGACATATGATATTAATGCAATTCTGAAAAATTTATTTATTCATGTGTGTCCTGTAGCATATTATATCTATGCCAAATATCAATTACCTACGTCCAATAGTCTTTGAGAATTCAAAAAAAATCTGTGATAAACAGATATAGAGATATAGATACCGAGGTGGCCCTAAAAGCGATAGAATTTTGCTAAATCTGACGCGAAGACGAACACGAGCACGAGCAAAGCCGCGGGTAAACCTTCCTACTTAATACCTTCATAGGGGGGTATTTGCCATAGTTGCCACGCTTGGCGGGCGGGTTGGCAACCGCAAGTTTTTTTATTGTAATTTTGCTGTTATCAGGAAGATGCTGCTGCCCATCTCCTGCCTGTTTCCCTTTGTTGCCTTTTACGACACCCACGGGAAGATATGAAGTGGTGGATATTCTTAATCGCCACTACACGGCATACAAGTGAGACTAAAAGTGAAAGAAGAAGAAGAGGCTACAAGTGAGGATACATTATTCAGAAACCTACAGTACTATGGTGTTAAGAACACAGCGCTTAATTTTATTATTTCATATTTAAATAATAGAACGCAGAAAGTTATTATATCAATTGTAAAAGTTCTTCTGGGTGACCCGTAATAATGAGTCCCTCAAGGCTCAATTCTCGGCGCATTCCTATAATACAGGAGCAGTTAATCCACCGCCAAGTTTCCGCCAAAACCTCGATGGATATCTCATGTTTTTTATCACCACAGAATTATTACGTGAAAGTCAACACGTCAACTAGGCTGTATGGGCATATGTCCCTTTGCCTGAATAAAAGTTAAAATAAAATTTTCGCGCCATTATTTCTGTCGGATTCTCAGTCATACAAATTTTAATCTTTATATATTAAAATTAAGTCAGTATCTCTGTCAGATCTGTTAATAAAAGTAAAGAAGTGATTATACAAGGACAGGACACAGGAAATATTTTTTTTTCGAGAGGTCACACCGTTGTAGCACCATTTTAAACTAGTGAAATGTTTTGATATTGTTTATTTTTAAGAATTCAGATTAAAATGCACGTAAGAGTAAGAACTTTTGGTAAGCCTGATACTATAGTTGTGGTTGAATCTAAGCTGACCAAGATAGAACAGTTTCGAAAGATTGTAAAGGAAAAGTTTGACGTCGATCCGAAGCTGCAACGGTTATTCTATGGCGGGAAGCTGGTAATTTATAACCCTTTTTTTAATTAGATCTTTAATGTGAATGTGTTTGTTGTTCCTGTAATATTACACAGCGGTGGACATAGGTCGATGTTGAGGTCTTCCGAGAAAGTTCTAGATATTATACCTTCATTTGTTTTGGAACCATCGGTGAAAATTCTAAGTTCTTCTGGGTGTAATTCCTTCGGCTGGTTAGTTTCGTTTAATTGTATCTTGTGTTTCTTATTAAACAAAATTTTTTTAGCGATCTTATAGTACTTGGCTTGTACGATAGAAATTTCGGTGTAAATTCTCAATTATACCTGTATGAGGGACTCTACTCTTAGTCCATAGATTTAGGGTCTTGAGTCTAATGGTAGCTAAAGTCGCTTCTTGTTGCATGTGTAGGTGAAGCGAGGCTAGCTCCAGCATAACCTATAAGGCTGCTGTTCGTGTAGTTCTTATGCAGCCTATGGTAGTCATACATGCCAGTCTCTGGTATCACTGAAGCTTCTTTTCTTCATTTGTTTTGGTCCACCATACCAGAGCGCTTTATGTGATTATGGGCCGTATCATGATTTTGTATAGCCAAAGTATAATTTTTTGGTATAAAACCTCATTGTTTGCCAATCATATTACTGCATTGCCAAAAAGTTATACTAGCCTTGCTCATTTTGTTTTCTATGTGTTTATTTCAGTTGAGTTTACTGTTTAAAGTAAGATCTAAATATTTTACCTCAGAGGATAGCTGGAGGTTTGTGCTGAAAATACTGTGGAAGCGATAGAACACAATGACACAAAATATTTTACCTTGCTTTCTTTGATGTCTTTGCAATAATTATTAAACCTTAAAGTGTCTGGACAACATTCTTAATACTCAAAATAAAATCTTACCTTTATGGTTTACTGGTGTAATGTAATTTAGGTATATATATTAGAATGTTCTAGGGATTGGATTTAGAATCATTTGGCACGAATTCAGCGGCGTAATTTGTCTTATTTGGTAGAGATTTGGTTCCTAATTATAATAACACCACTCACATTAAAAGGTAATGCACCGTTATCAAAAAATAATAAAAAACTATTTTAACCTAAAATGTGTAAAACATGGAAAAGTTACTGTGAAAGCTAGATAGCATACAGAATTGTGTAAGTGCAACAAGGACATAAGACTAGTGTCACATTATTCTATTGTCTATACTCTCTGTCAAGAGATATTTCGCTAAAAACAACTAATAATAGAGAAAATTTTACAGACTTGATATATGAATATTTATGGAGAAGAGAAATTATAAGGAATAAATTTTGAGGAATTAATAAAAAGAAAATATGTTAACAGACAATAAAGAAATAATTATAATATACTGTTTTATTTCTGAAGTGTTTAAAACTGCCCAGAAATACTTGAACACCCAGAAATAATTTCAGTTGTAATAGGTTACACGGAGGGAGAGCAGCCCCTGCCCGCCGTAGTAAATCGCAGACACCTGTGCCAGCTGTAGCTGCTGAGGCTGGTGGCCGAAGGCGACCAATAAGCTAAAGCTGTACAGGTGAGCATGGGTGCCTGTGATTCGCTACACAAGGGCGAAGGGGCTGCACTTCCCGCAGCAGCGAAACCGTTGTAAAAGTAACTTTGCGTCAATATTCCTGTGTAAAAAAGTGAGGTTATGATTTTACAAAAAAAAAAGATTACTAATAAACTATACTTTTTCACGAGGGAAAGGTAGAGTGACTTTCCCTGATAGGGCACATTCCTGCTACCCTCTTCCCCCCTCCTGCCAGATACAATAAATGCTACTTTCAGGTTAGGTCTATGGGATTTTCTTTTTGATTTTCTCAAGAACAGTGTATTATGTTTTAATGGGAGTGGTGTCGGGAGTAAGAGGATGCTCCCCCCCCCCCTTCCCCTCCCCTCATCCCCTGCCCCCTCCTCCTGCCAAACGTTTCTAAATTTCAACCTGTTCTAGTATTATTTAAACCATTGTATTGTTCCCTTTCAACCATTAGCACCATAGTAACCAACATAAGCCAAAATATTAGTAAGCAGAAATGGCAATAGGCCACCCATATAGTTCAAAGCACCGAACAACTGATGAACAAGAAAGGTTTTATATGGTAGAAATTCCTTGGGGGAGGCCTATGTTCAGCAGTGGACTTGTGAAGGGCTGTAATGATGATGATCTCTTCATAATGTTATTTTACAAAAATGTGTTTATTAATTAGTATTATGATAAACAGTGATTATTAAAAGTCATGGTTTCTTCGTTTTTTTATAGGAGAGGGGGCAAATGAGCATGCGGATCACCTGATGATAAGTGACTACCACCGCCTATGAACAACTGCAACACCAGGGAACCAGGGGCATTGCAAATGCATTGCTGGCCTATTAAAAAGGAGTAGGTTCTTTTCTTGAAGGTCCCTAAGTCGTATTGGTCCGGAAAAATCGTTGATGGTAATTGATTCCACAAGGAAGTTGTGCGAGGAAGAAAACATCTTCTAAATCGCACAGTAGTGGACCACAAATCATCAAGATGGTGTGGATGCTATGATTAATGCTGGGATTAATCCGAACAATTCCTTAGAGCACTCCCCATGGTAAATGCGAAAGAAAATGCTAAGGGATGCAACATCTCTTCGCAGTGCCAATGAATCGAGCCGATCGAAAAGGACTCGGTCGTCAACGATTTGAGCCGCTCGAGCTGGCACTGAGGAGCCCCTGCCCAGAGATGGGAACAGTATTCCATGTGAAGCCGAACCTGCGCCTTGTAAATTTGCAGGCGGTGTCCCAGCATGAAATACTGTCCCACTCTGCTGAGCACTCCATGCATTTTGGCCTTCTCTTCCAAGTGACCATGAAATTGCATGTCAATCGATATGTCAACTCCGAGGATTCCGATACTGGCTGAGGCAAAAAGGGGAGTACCTTGAAACTGAGGAGATACGACAAAGTCATTTTTAGCGGTAAACGTGCAAACTTGTGTCTTCTGAGGATTAAACAGGACTAGATTTAGTCACCCCCAATCCGAGACGTGTTCAGCAAAGACTCAACTTCAGACACAAGTTTGTTCCAGTACTCTGCGACGTTTTCCCGAGAAATATTGGCACGGCCGTTGTATAGAGCATCACCAGTGCTACCATCCGCATAGCAATGAATGTTACCAGTTCGCAACATATCATTGGTGTGCAGAAGAAACAGTGTTCTTTTTTTTGTGTTTTATTCTTCCTTTATAAATGTAGACCAAGGGGCAATTCATAAGATATAAGCACTGACTTTCCATGTGTCAACATACAAAGTAAATGTTTGTGGGTGTCTTTATTGGACTGAAATCAGTTTAGTGCTGAAATTTGACTTCTCTTTCAGTAGGAATTGTAGAAACAGCCATGCAATGGAAGCAGATAGTCAGCAATTTTGTGATTATTTTCTCACACATTTTAATTACAAATTGTTTCTGTTGCTGGTTTGCAAATTTTACATCTAGTACATTAAGCAAATTATACCTCAAACAATCAATGCCTGTGAAATGAAGTCATTGAAAAAAAAGCTTTAAAAATGTTAAAACTTATAGGTATTTTTAAATTATTGTGAGTACCATTAGTTTGAATAGTATCAAACTTGAAAGTATTATTTGCTGTATTCATTAGCAGTGTAGCCCTTATGGCTGTGCGTATTTGAACATGTATTTTTTTATTATTAGTCTATTTGTTAATGGTATGTGTTTATATCTTCGCCAATTGTAAACCAATTCGAATGATGAGTCTAGACGTAAGAATTTTTTTTAGAATAAGTTCTATCCCTAACGGTGAAAAATACGAATGAAAACAAATTTTTTTCACATCAACAAATTATTTTCACATAATATAAAAGCTTCTGAATTTGGTGCCAAATGTCAGTGTATCAAAAATTTAAACCTTGACTTACTTCAGAAACTATTCATGTTTATGTAGAATTTCTTTTTTAGTTATTTGAGGTTCATTATTATTTTATTAAAGTTCAATTATTATTTTTTCGTGACAAAATGTACTTATATTTTATTATATTAATAAAATCCACGTTCCACAAAGGTGCAGGTGAATATCATTTAAATAAAAATGGAAATTTTGCTTACTCATTGCCAATCTAAATTTAATTTAGCTCAAGCTTATGTTTTTTTTTCTTAAGTAAAGGTTTTGAACTTTGCTATGTACATATGATGAATTAAGATATTTTAACCACACAGCCAATTATTTCTCATTTTTTCATATATCTCCATTAGTCTGTAGACAAGTCACTGATTGTGTCTTTTTCATCATAGAAAAGGGAAGTAGTTACTGCTATATATGTGTGTGCCAAGTCTGCACTACATACATCTGACATAAGCAATGTCTTTGTAGTATTTTTGTGTCAAGTTTTGATAACCATGTCTGAGAAGGAGTGATAAATAATGTGACCGCCAAAAAGTATTATAAGCTACCAATTACCATGTTTATCAACATATTAGTAATTACATTTTGGATTATGTTATATAATAAATTTATATTATTATTATTTTTTATAAAACTGAGTGATAAACATACGATCCACCTAATGACGAGTGGCTACTGCAGTCCATGGACTTTTGCCACTAACTTTAAAAAAAGAAGGCTACAGATACATTGTCATCTCTAAGGACTTAGATGGAATGCCTGCCTGTAATTATACTGGCTCTCTATGTGTGTTATCTCTGAACACAGCAGTACAAGCACTGCTATTTGGCAGGATGCATTCTGCCACCTAGATTTACATGTTTATTTTAGTATTTCTTATTTTCTTAATATAACTTGCATTATTATTAAATAGATAATGTGTATGACATAGAATATATTTGTACTTAAAAATCTATTATATATCAGTCTTTTGTATTTTAGCTTGAAGATGGTTACACTTTCCACGATTACAACATCAAACTTAATGATGTAATTCAGCTCATGGTGAAATTGCAGCCAAATGATGGTTCAGTAAAGGAAAAAGCACAAATTTCTGATAAAAGCCTTGAGCAAAGTAATGAAACAAATAGTGAGAAAAATTCCTATAATGGTAGGTTATAAGTGGAATATTATTAAGTATAATATTAATATTAAGTATTAATAAACAATATTTTCTTATTATTATCAGCCTGGTACAATCTACTGCTTGACATGGGCCTCTCCCATAGTAGAGAGAATTTGGCATCATGATAACAGTTGGTAAGAAAAAGTGCATCAAAGTACTAGAAGTCAATCCATCAGTCAGCTCCTATGATGTTGCTGCCTCAGAGTTTTTTCATGTTATATATATAGGGTTATTTTTTAAAGAGTAGCCTAATTTTAAATTTAAGTTCAAAAGTAAATTCAATTATATATTATACTTGTATTTGAAATTATTCTAAATTGAATGTGATTTATTTTTTCCTTTCGAATATGTGCGTGTGCAGTAAAATCAGTTAAAATAAACCTAGTAAGCTAATAGCATAGCAAAGTGGCGAAGCAATCAGCTTTGTAGCGGTTTCTAACGGTTGCCGTTGAGCAATCAGTTTCAAAATAGGAGGTTCAGATGCCTGGGTGATCAGTAATCGATTGCTGAAAACAGAATTTCAAAATTCAAAACCGTTCTCGAGATAATCGTGGGACAGACGGACAGACATCGTGAAATCAATAAGTGACTTCGCAAGCTTCGCCACTTAATAATGCATATTACATGTGGAATTTAAAAGATAAAAAAGACTGATGAGTTTTTGGGACGAAGTTCTTTATTGGACGGTACGAATTTGGCGGATGGGGACTAGGCGAGAAAATAGTTTTTCCGTCACGACCCCTTTGACGTTATGTAGACAGTATTTGCGGCTATAAGGAAGCGAGATGGAATATTTTCCATCTTCCTCGCACTTTTTCTTATCTTGCCATGAAAGAAATATTACTTTAAAAGATGCTTCATTTTGCTAGATGAGTAATTAATTTATTTATATTTGTTAATCAATAATATAATACGTTTATCAATAATAATATATTAGAAGCGTCAGTAGCTTAATGGCAGGACGTGGACCGCGAACTCGAAAAGTTGTGGGTTCGAATCCGTCATTTGCATTTATAACATTTTTAAGCATTTTAAACTTACCAGAAGTGGTTTAAGGGAATAGTAATGTTTAAAAAAATGCTACGAAAGGAAATTCGTTCCAGCCGGGTGGTGTTCTATGACACTAACACATGTTTTTATAACTTTTTTTCACCATTTGTTTATATTACTTATTCTGAACCTTCTCTGCAAATTTGGCCGGTTATTGCAAAATAACCCTGTATATTACCCAGTTGCATAAGTGGTAGAGCCATGCTGCAGCTATATTTCTGGTATAGTTGTAACACGAATGGGTGGGCTCGACCGGGGAAGGACCACGCTCTCACAGAATACCAGCGTAAAATAGCAGCTTAATGCTGCTGTGTTTCGTATGGTGAGTGTAGAGAACTGGAGACCCTTTTTACTGGAAACGAAGCATTAGCATATATTCATGAATTGGTTATACTCACAGTCCAATGGAACAGCAATCTGATACCATCTGGCATCTGGAGAGAGATTAGGTATACATAGGTATGTATGTCCTGTTCCTATGGCTTTACTTTCTTTCCGAGGCACGGCGTGAAACACCGCCAAATTCTTAATTATTTTTGATAGAAAAACCCAACAACTGATTTTTGGCCTGACCGAGAACCACATGTTGTGAGCAGTCGAGCTAATGACTATGAGATAAATGAGGCAATCATGTTAGTTTATAGTGGCATTGTTAATTTGTTCATTTCCCTTTAAAATGGTTAAGGAGTGATTAATTTCGATGTTTTTATCCAATCAAACATTGTTAAATTAGTGTTAGATTTAAAACAATGGGCACAAAAGGTTAAATTATTTTCATAGCAGTTAATTTTATTGGCTGTACTTGACCTCTGGGCTATAAAAAAATCAGATTGATTTTTTGCAGCACCAGAAAATATATCTTTTATGATGTATTAAATAAGGTTACTTTCTTAGCCATGAACGCTAGATTCTTGGCAAAGAATAAATGGTTTTTAAGATATATATATTGTAACTTTAATTAATCTTTGTCTATCTGCTTTAATTATATCATATACAGCAGACTAAAGATATGGACTTATCTTCATTTATCCTCCAATAATAAAGAAACAGGAAAATCTGTTGTTTTCTTGTTTTAACCTATTTAAACAAATGAGGTAGGTTATATCAATTTGACTGTTGTTCAGTTGTTTTTTATTGGGTTTATTTTGTTTCATTTAATAGTTATTACAATTATATTCTATCCTAATATTAAAAGAAAGTAATTTTTTTTAGACAGAGTAAGTCGTTTTTATTAAAACAAATTCCGCATAGATATTAAAGGTGCTAATGTAACATTCTTACATTAATAATAATAATATATTTTTCATTTAGATGCCGAAAGCAATTTTTACGAGTTAGGAGACTTAGTTGATATGAAAGACAGAGAACAAGGCTCCTGGTTAGAGGGAAAGGTTGTAAGAATAGTTTATGATCCTGAAGCCAATCCAATTATCGATCCTGGAGAAGCAGGTACACAGATAGAAAAAAAAGTCACGGAAACAAACTCTGGCAAAGAAAGTGACCTTGAAAATGAACCACCTAATGAAAAAGAAGATGAAGAAAGTCCAAAGTCAAAGAAAAAAGGTATTGCAAAGTATTTTACCCAATCTCCAAGAGCAAAGAGACCAATTGGAAAAGATTCTACTAAAGCTGAAAATAGTGGAAGAAAGACCATAGAACTATTATATAAAATTCAATTAGACAATGAGTGAGTAAAACATTTTTATTTAATAAAGCATTCAAATGATTAATGATTACTGAACTTCAGCTACCATGGACCTTAATTTTTTTATTAGTCACTTTTAATATTATATTTATTTATTATTGGTAGGTATGGAGTCGGGCTTGCAGACATAATATAAATATGTTAATAGTCCATATAAGACTTCACACTGACTGTGTGTAAAGTAAATGGCATAACTTTTTATGTGGGTAAGCCATGTTGTAGCTATATTATTGTAGTACCATGAGTAGGTCGACTTGACAGGGGAAGTACCACGCTCAAAGAAAAGCAGCTTAAAAAGCAGCTTAATGCTGTTGTGTTTCATATGGTGAGTGTAGAGAACCGGATATCCTTTTTACTGGAAATGAGGTATTCCACCTTATTTACAACACATCTGCATTTTGATTCTTAATCGACGATAAATGTAGATGCCTATGATGGGCCACAGTATCCACATACTATCAGGTGGACTGTGTGCTCGATTGTTACCCTAATTCTATAAAAATATTAATATTTTATTGAAATGAAATAAAAAATTAATGGAAAATAGTTAATTTAATGGATCATTTTTGATTGAAAATAGTTATCAATCATTTGAATACCAAAATTCGATCAAATGAATATTTTGACATGACAAATGATCATTCGATAACTGATTAGCAAATCATCTAAACAATTTTTTGGAACAGTCGCCCATAGCTACAGTTCATGATAGTGCTGTTTGAACATTTTCAAACTCTTATATTATTCCAATCACAATACATATAACTTAAGACTGAATGTTCAATATTTTCAGTGAAGAAGATTCAGATTTATATTGTAAGCAGTCAGAAATAAGACCACGGGCACGAACTGTTATTGACACGAATGATTTAAAAGTAGGCCAGAAGGTGATGTTAAATTATAACACTGACGAACCACTTGAAAAAGGATATTGGTATGTATTTCTTATTAAAACATCAAATTCACAGTTTTGTATGTAGCTATGTGATGTTTGCAACTGCAGTATTTTCGAATAACCTAACTTTTCCTGCTTATTATCAAAAATAATGTATGCTACAATAGTGATTAAAAAAATGTCACCCTCACACTAGGATTTTGTCCTGTGTTGCGGAAGCAGCTCTGCAGCTTATATACATAAATTACACAGGTACAACATCCCGACTCAGGACATAAAAGTACCTTAATACTTGTTCACAAGTGTATCCACAGTCCATGAATACCATTACAGTTACTTTAAATTAATACTTAAGTAATTTTAATTTTGCAGGTATGATTTTAAGGTAGATGAAATCAAGAAATTGAGGTCTAGTTATGAGCTTGTTGGCACATTGTACTTGGGAGCAGATTCAGTGCCGCAGAATGAAACTAAAGTTAAGGTCCATGACAAAATCTTTGCTATAGAGGAGGTAATACCAGTTGACCAGAGATCTGAAGACCAAAAGAAAATGATGAAAACGCAACCAGATAAAAGTTTGTAATCATTACTTACTTTTGCTATGTATATTTATAATATATTAGAATATTATGTTTAAGCAAAATAAGTATTAGTGTTGCAAATTAAAGCTATATATATATATTATAGTGGAGATTGGGGTTGTCAACTTTGCCAATAAGAGTTGAGATCTGAACAGAAGCCAAGCTCCATAGCATTTCCTTACAATATAACTTATTATTTTGGGTTACTTATGCTTATTTTAAAATCTCTAAGTCCACTGCTGAACATAGGTCTCCCCAATAGATTGCTACATAGGGGGGGATATTTGCCATAGTTAACATGCTTGTCAAGCGGTTTGGCAATCAATATTAGAAAGATGCTGGAGACCATCTACTGATTTGTTACTCTCTGTCGCCTCTTACGACACTAACGTGATGTTATTTGATTGCTTATTTTATTATTGAATCATATTTTTGTTCATTTTATTTACTTATTTATTGAAACTTCTAACTATATATTATGCATATTACCAGGATTCACCTGATGTGACAGTGTAGTTTTAATGCTTGACAAATATATGTTACTTAACTATAACAAATTACAACAATCCTATTTATCTTATTTTTATTTAGTTAAATAATTTATAAGATTGGTTAATTGTTTTTATTTTTACCTATAGAAAATATTAAATGCAATTTTACATCCAATCATATAAGTGGGAGTTACAATTTATTATTTTATCTATGGCAACTTACTTTATAATGTTAATTCTTGTAGCCATATATTAGTTGATAACTGTCTTTATATGGCTAGCATATTATTAAGGCACAATTGTTATAATTAAAGTATTATCGTAATTATAACCTAAAACCGAAAGTATTTTGGACATAAAAAAATAATTATCTGGAATGTCCAGCATTCTAATTTAATTTCAATCAAGTGTAGTCATCACTTAGTAACCACACTAAGAAACCATCGGGCAGTGACATGAACATTAGCGCGATTCTTTCGAGTCCTTTCCTGAAGCCCGTATTTCCATTTGCTCGGTATTTATAAACAGCTTTACGGCTGCCGGCTCTGTAGGCCAGTGGCTAAACATTTGGTCGCGGCACTTTAGGGTCGTGGGTTCAAATTCCGACCCTAAAGAGCCGCATAAGTGCGAGTAAGTGTTTATATGATTATGATGATTATTGTAGATGTTTTATTTTTAAATTAATACTTACTTTACTTTACTTATCTTCACGCACAATCACTGACGGGGTAGCCAGAGAGAACAGATCGCCAAGTGTCACGATCCTTACATACCTCTTTCGCTTCTTTCAGATTCATTACCTTCTTCATACATGCACGTCTAGGTATCCGAGTACTCTTGACCCTACCCTCTTCGAGCAATTTGCTCACATGGTCTTCGAAAGTTAGTCTCGGTCTACCTCGACACCTTTTAATATTAACTTTCGCGCTATATATTTTCTTCACCATTCGGTCTTCACTCATTCGCTCAACGTGCCCAAACCACCGAAGCACGCCCTTATCAATTTTTGAATTATTTTTTTAAATTAATAGTAAGAATTATTAAGTCACTATTTGTGTCAAAGTGGTATTCGATTATCGTTTTTTTTGTAATTAAATAAAAAATTGAAGTGACAAACAAACTTACAGTCCACTAAGGAACTTCTGCAGTTAAGGGCTGCAACCAACCTCAATAAAGAAGGAAACATTCTATAAATATCATAGTGATATATATACGACTGTAAGCAAAGGTGCATATTCCACTATTTGCTTTCCCGAGGCAGGTATTTAGTAATGTGTATGTTATTCACTATCGCTTTTTTGTCATATAAAAATACATGTTTATTTTAAAGGATCTCAACCGTTGAACTGTCTGACGTGTCGGGACAATGAAGACGCTCCATGCAAAGAATGTGGATGTTGCGTGTGCTTGGGCAAAGAGTCACCAGAGATGGTTAGCTAATTCATTCATGTATTTGCTCATGGATAGTACATTTATTATAAAACTTGACATGTGTTTTCATTACATATTATAGTTACATATTCTGCTATGTCATTCTTTAAAAAATTCGTAAGAAATGCAAAAATATTCCAAAGAATTTTACTGTATCAATTCATAAATTAATTTATGAAATTTTCAACAAAATCTTCATTTCTTACATAAGTATTATGAAATTGTTTCTTCTGTTAAGCTTTCCATTGATTGACACTATCAAAGAGAATATAACCAATACGTTTAGACACTACCGTAAGCTCAGTTATCACAGCCAAAAACTACCTATGCAGTCCAGTCCGCCTTGTATAATGTGACGCGATACGTCAAAATGCTCGTCGCATCATTGCTGCACGCCGCGTTTTTAAAACAAAAAAAATCGATAGATTATTTAACCCTATTCACACATTTACTTCATATTCTCTGAAATTTCAAAGAACATAATATTATGAGGACTATACCATGTAGTGGTGGTGTAAGAATATCCGCTGCCCTAAAATGTGCCGTAGGTGTCGTAAAATGCGATAGAAAATAAAACCAGGTGTCATCTCCTGGTTATTTGTAGTCTTATGTGTAGTGTTCGCGTAAATATAAGAAATCATTAAACAACTAAACATATTTAAAAAAACTACGGTTGCCAACCCGCTTGCCTAGCGTGGCAACTATGGTATGGTATGCGTGCATTGCTGTTTTGGTCTGAAGGGTAGACAGCTATGTAATTATAGTTTGCGAGGCGTTTTTTTTTATAGAATAAGGGTGACAAACGAGCACACAGTCCACCTGATGGTTAGTGGATGCTGTGGTCCATCTACAGCTGCAGCGTGGCTCTACCACATATACAAAGCATTCCATTTTAGTCCTCAAAGATCTTATGCGTAGTCTTCCTTGTTTGATAGTTAGTTACGTTTGTACATGGGCTTTGTATGTTGTTTTCTCAGTCAGTCTTTTAAATAAGCCAATATACGCGTGCAATGTGTGCTATGCCGATAGTGGTTTTTTTTATAGAATAAGTGTGTCGAACGAGCACACAGTCTACCTGACGGTAAGTGGATGCTGCGGCCCTTCAACATCTACATTTATCCTCCACTATTGATCCGACCTGGCTTTGCATGGGTGATTTCTGGATCTCGACAACAGCGCCATCTACCGAGTTGATTGAACAACGTTTTATCGACCAGTATCTGTCGATGAGCTAAAGCTTACCACACCAATTGATCGACATTGATCGATGTCGATCCGATGTCCATCAATAGCGTCGATCAATGATGGAGCGATTAGTGTGGTTAACACCTTAAAACATACACTCAAAACCACCACGACCACAGACCACTAATATACACTCAAAAAATTTCATCAAGATCGTTCGAGCTGTTTTCGAGTTTTAGCAAGACTAACGGATAGCAATTGATTTTATATTATACAGATTACATTTATTATTGTATAAGATTATTATTAAAATAAGATAATTTTATAATCAATAAATTTCGTTCTTAATCCTTACTGTTCATATGTCACATGCTTATTCTCTATACATAATAGGTAAGACTGTATACTGTATCCTACCTCATTCTCTCGTAGGTTAAATTCTATATATATGTGTATGTTTGTTTCTTTTTAACGTTATAGGCTATTAAAAGTCCACTAATGAAGATAGTATTCTCCCCCTATATTGCAAAAATTGGAAAAAATCCCCCCATAAGGGGGGTATATTTGCCATAGTGGCCACGCTTAGCTAGCTGGTTGGCAACTGCATTTTTTATTTTTAGTCGTTATTAGGAAGACGTTGCTGCGCTCATTTTGTTTTCCTCTGTCGTTTCGTATGACTACCATGGGATAATATATGGTAATGAATATTCTTGTATCAACACTACGCGGCGACGGTTTGTCTTTTTTTAGTGTTTGGGGGCACGGCAGTGCCCCCGCCAAGTCGACCAAAAAAGCGGCATGGCTGTATCATCCTTTACTCGAAGCAGTTCAGGCCATTTTCGACCCCCTATAACCTCGTTGTGGATAAAACTAGAAGCCTGAATTTTCAGTAAGCAAGCAGGCGTTGTATAAACACGGTATATTTCAAATTTCATTCAATTTGAACCAGTAGTTTAAGTATTTATATAACTAATCAAAGTTTCTTAATTTTGTAACTCACTCACTGACCGATCATCAAACTCTAAGGCACTTCTAGCAGACGTAGAAGCTTCAAATTTAGAATACAATTAGTGTTTAGTGTATAGATGAAGTTCGCAGAATGTACTATTCGTTGCAAGTGTAGTTTACTTTAATAAACAGTTGTTTGAATGTGTGGTATGATGGTGTCGCAGATCGTACTGTGCGACGAGTGCGACCGCGGGTACCACATGCGGTGCCTGGTGCCGGCGCTGGCGCGGCTGCCGGAGGGCGACTGGTACTGCCCGGAGTGTGCGCGCGACCCCGCCGCCGTGGTGGCGCCGGGCGCGCGCCAGCAGCGCCGCAAGCAAGCCCCCGCTGCCGGCACGCGCGACTGGGGCCGCGGCATGGCCTGCGTCGGTACGTACACCCACGTACACACACGTACACCCACACCCACCCACACACACACACACCCACACACCCACCCACACACACACACACACACACACACACACACACACACACACACACACACACACACACACGCACACACACACACACACACACACACACACACACACACACACACACACACACACGCACGCACGCACGCAATAGCAGAGCCGCAAGCGCTCTCTCGCCGCCGGCATAAATAAACTTTAACCCGTACAAAACTTCCTCTGATGTGAAATTTGTGAAACATTCCACCTTATTCAACATTCACATTAAATTTTAGCGTGCCTATTTTTATTTGGCATTTAAAAATTTAATTAATTTTTAATTCCATAAAACATGTACTTATATTAAATACTATTTTTTATCCAAAATTCTGGGAAATGTAAGCATAACGAAAGTTAGCGGATCGTGCCAGCGTGCGTGCGCTCTTCGCATTCTCGAAAATGCTAAATTAATTTTCTTAATGCTATATATTACTAATATATGTGTAGCACTTTCGCATCGTAAGTCATGCATAATTGCTTAACACACTTAATACGTAATGTCAACATTTTCATGTTAATAACATTACCATTGGCACATATCAAAATTTCAACACTGTAATTTGCCTCACACGCTCACATTATTCCCGCACCCGCCATTCATCACTTCACTCACTCACACCAGCCATCACCACACTCAACACTTCATTGTCCAACTTGATTCCAATTATGACGATATTTTTTATTCATTTTATGTAAGAAACAAAACATTTGTAAACGTATCTATTAGCACATACACCTGATTACAGGTTTATCCTAATTCAGGGGCCTGTTATTGTAGAATATTCTAAATGAAGACATTATTTGAATTAATTGTACAGTTTATTAAAATAAAATATTATTATTATTATTATTTTATGTGTCTAGCTTAATGCGCTGTGCTTTTCTGCAGACTTCCAAAAGGTTGTAGTCGAAGTCAATTAGTATTTAATTGACTTCGACTACAACCTTTTGGAAGTCTGTCATTATTAAAGATAATTTAAAAACTATTGGTCAGATCTTGACCAAATTTATATGGGACCACATGAGAAGCACCAGCTTTCAAATAAAAAATGAATCATTAAAATCGGTTCACCAAAAAAAAAGTTCTGAGGTAACACAAAATAATTCAGTCGAATTGAGAACCTCCTTCTTTTTTGAAGTCCGTTCAAAAATAATGTTTACGATCTAAAAACTGTTGGTCTTACGAGTATAGTTACCTTCAATCAAAAATATTTATACAGGTGTTATAATGTGATTATAATTTAAAATAAAAATGTTGTACAGCTGACTTCAATATATGTTATTAAGAATAACTCAAAACTATTGGTCTGACCTTGATCAAATTCATACGGGACCACACGAGAAGTACCAGCATTCAAATAAAAAAAAAGAATCATCCAAATTGGTTTACCCAGTAAAAAGTAATTAGTTAACACACATAAAAATGACATACAGTTGAATTGAATACCGTCTGCTTTTTGGAAGTCGGCAGAAAAGGTTTTGCAGTACCTAGGTAAAATTGTTGCCCAACCATGTTGTCTCACAATGTAAATAATATGGTTTGTTAATGTAGATTTATTGGCACTATTTGGTATTCTTGTCATGTATGAATATAAAATGTAAACTATATATTTGAAATAGGACTTGTTTATTGCCAAAATAAATGAAAAAAAAAAAGTATTATTCAGTTGAAAAATAAAGAATTTTCTTTTCATTTCATTCGTAAAGTATACAACAGTATAGTAGTTCCCGCTTATTATTAAAATTCTCGGGTATATATAATTTACAGCAAAACCAAACACAAAACAGGACCACGATAACAACTTTTTTTATTAATTTTAACGTCCGAACCTTTAGACAGTGTAATTTTACACCTCCTAAAGGAGCATTTACATTTTATTGTGCCATACTGTAAATACTTAAGCAACAACCCAGTATCGTTATGTATTTCAGTCCCTGAAATCCAATCTGGAAATCTTTGGTTTTTGATGTTTTTTTATTTTGTAAATAACAGGAAAAACGAAAACATGTGCGATGCCGGCAAATCATTTTGGCCCTATCCCAGGCATTGAAGTGGGCATGTGTTGGAGATTTAGAATACAGGTAAGCACTTCAATTAAACTAAAAGTAAATGTTATTATAATACTTGAATTCTCTAAACCTTGCTTTTGTTCTGAAACTTTAAGCAATTCAATTTTATTGTAATATAAATAAGAAACTAAGATTTCCGATATGAAAATAAAACAACTAAGACATTGTTATTAAATTAGAAATGTATTTGCTTTCAGTTTAGAATGATAGGCTCTTCTTCATCAGCTCGTAAAGTTCACTACTGGTCATGGATATCTCCGTTATAAACAGGATTTGCCTCAGGCATACGTATTGATAAGGTGGCGGATAAGAATTTATTACAGCATTTCGTCGTTTAGGTGATCTATCGTATCCAAGGCGGTATACCTATCGTTTACATAGACTCGCAACGGATCAAATTTGCGATAGACTGGCACTGTCTACAACAATTTTTTTTAATGTCTTTCATAAATTACAGCCATTACAGCCCTTCAAAAGTCCACTGCTGAACATAGGCACAGTATAAATATGAACAGTATGGAAACTAAGCCTAGTTGAGGATATAATTACCTACGCTCCATTAAAGCAATAGGGTTGTAACTTTTAATGTTTTGATATTCCTTTTTTTTTGTATTTTTGTTCTGTAGTGATCAATCAATCGAATTTAAGTAACAGCTTATAAATACAATTTAAATAAGTAATCTCAACAAAAAAACGATAGTTTAAACACGTAAAACAATTTAATATTAACGCACAACAACTTGTAGAACTTTAACTTTGTCATTACGGCGTAACCTTTTACAAGTTTCGGCGGGAACGTACGCGAGCCGCAGTTGGACAAAAACATACCTTTATTCTTCACTAGTTGTTCCCTGCGACTTAGCTTGCATGTTAGTTTTTATTTTTTAGCGCGGAACCCTAATTCTTTTTCTAAAATAAAAGTAGTCTAAGTTACTCTTTATGACATCAGCTATCTGCCAGTGAAAGTGCCGTCAAAATCGGTCCAGCCGTTTCGGAGATTAGCCGGAACAAACAGACGGACAGACAGACAAAAATATTAAAAATTGTTATTTAGTTATAAGTAACGTATTTATTTTCATATGCATTTAGTAAAAAGCTGTTATTTTGACATTACAAACGGACACTTCAATTTTATTTATTTGTATAGATTATTATAAATTATATACAGAAAAATATTTTCGTCTGCTTCGACAAGTTCGGAATTCTTTATTATTGAATTTAACTGTGTAAAAAAATATCATTCTAATGAACAGGTTTTTTTAAAACAAACTGTTGGGAAACAAGGAACGGGTTCTATGAAACCGACTTTGTTTATTTTTTTTGCAAATTAGATCAGCTACTTGCAGTTTATGTGTTCTTTTTTTAAGCAACAACAAAAAATCGGTTTCAACACCCTCAAAAACCATGACGAAAAAATTTATACCTATTGCAGCCGTCATCTTGGATTTATATTTCGACAGCACTATCGGCTTTAACACCCTCGAAAACCATGAAGATGACACCCATGTTTTTAATTAGTGATCGATGCACCCATGACGAAAAAATTGATACCTATTGCAGCCGCCATCTTGAATTTACATTTCAACCAGCACTATCGGCTTCAACATACTCAAAAACTATGAAAATGACACCCATGACGAAAAAATGATACCTATTGCAGCCGCCATCTTGGATTTATATTTCGACAGCACTATGGGCTTCAACACCCTCGAAACCCATGAAAATAGCACCCATGACGAAAAAAATGATACCTATTGCACCCGCCATCTTGGATTTACTTTTTGTTACCACTATTACACTATCAGCTTTAAATAGCCTCATAACCGCCGCATTCTGGACGTACAAATAAGTTCACGAATTCATTATGATCGATCACTCGGACTTATAATTCGATAACGATTATAAAAATGACAATAAAAATCATTCTTACCTTTCAAAATCAGCAGGAAGCTTAAAATAAGATAGCTTCGGTTTTGATGAAGCCGAGTTCAAACAGCCGTATACTACGCAATACGTTCGTGGCATTGTTAAAATTTCTTGACGCGACAGTCGCTATTGAGAGCACCGCGACGAGCGCCTAGAAGTCTCGTCGTTGCGCATGTTTGTGTGAGTGTGCCGTTTCGAGCGTTTATAGGAAGTTTCCGTACTGTTCCTACTATATATTTACTGTGACATAGGCGTCTTCCAAGGAATAAAATAATAAATAAAAAATAAATTGCACACCTCCCAAGTTGGCGCTATAATTCTTAATTCCGATTTACACTTTGACAAGTGCAGTAGCGAAATAACTTGTGAACCTCGCGAGTTAAATAAAAAATATCGTTTGAACGATAATCAGTGAGTTCAGTAGCAAATTAACATTTAACTTGCCTACCTTAGCATCAGTTTCATAAATAATTAAATTACGTTGGAATTAATCTCATTCTTATTATATTTTGGGGGTCGGTTTTATTATAATATAATAAAAATTTAACTTAAAGTTGATTTTTTTTTAATTTTAATTATTACTTTTTTGGTAGCTTACAAGTTACGTTTGTTTGTGGTAAGCACACATAAATTTTGGTGAAAGAACGTTGCTATTGTCCGCAGCTGTCGGAGTCGGGTGTTCACCGTCCGCCGGTGTCTGGCATCCACGGCCGCGACGTCGAGGGCGCCTACAGCATTGTGCTCTCAGGTACTCCCGGCCAGTGATAACGACAACATCTTTGTTAAAACACAACAAAATGATCCTCAGGAGCTTTCACTGTAAACGTTCAGAAACATTTTCAAATAACTTTTTGTCATTTTAGGTCTTTACTTGTTTGTTGTCCCAGGGCCTCGACAATTTCAGATCGACATGCATATTGATTGTATGTATGTGTGTGCAGGTGGGTACGAGGATGACGTCGACAACGGGTACGAGTTCACGTACACGGGCAGCGGCGGCCGCGACCTCTCCGGGAACAAGCGCACGGCCGAACAGTCCTGCGACCAAACCCTCACCAGGGAGAACAAGTCAGTTACACGCCCTTAGCGCTCATTATGTTTACAGTGTAGTTAGTGCTAACATAATAAAAGATACGCTTAAATATTTCAGATCAATGGTAATAAGTTTGGGAACGAGTTAGAGAACGATATTTTAAAATTGAACGCAGTTCTAATTGTTATATTGGTAGATTTACCCTTAGGAGTATTTAAATCTGCGCGCCCTTTCAATTGTATTTTAATATATTTTAGCGTATTTACTATTTTGAACATTTTAAAAGTATTAAAATTTACCAAAAACAAAATACAAGGTAGTCGCGTGTTCTTTTTTTTATTATATATTTTTTAAATTAGACAATTTGTACTTTGTTATTTGTATTTCAACAAAAATAAATCGGTAAGTAACATTAATTTATATAGCCTTTTTGTTATGAATAGTGTTTCTTTTCTAGTAATCTATCAGCGAGCATGTACTTAATAAAAATATTACCTATACTTACTATTTTCTTAAATATATATTATATATTAATACATTGTTAACGAGATTGACAAACAAAAGCACAAAGTCCACCTGTTGGTAAGTCGATGCTTCGGCCAGTAGACACATCATCTTCGATTTAGAATCAACATATAGATGTTTTTAATACTGATAACTATGTAAGCAAATAGCAACAAGGTATTGATAAGAAAAGGGTGTGTTGTGTTGTGCAGGGCGCTGGCTCGCAACTGCGCAGCGGAGGTGAGCGCGGGGGGCGGGGACGCGGGAGCGGCGTGGCGCCAGGGCCGGCCCGTGCGCGTCGTGCGCTCCTACAAGATGCTCAAGCACTTCCCCAAGTACGCGCCCCTCGAGGGCATCAGGTACTGTGTCGCGCGCACACGCAACAACCAACGCGAAACCATTGAACTAAGTACTACGTACTGGAACAGACACAGACTAAGTGTGAGCCCGTGAGTTCTGACGCGTGTTACAAAAAGCCAGGTTTCGGCATCCTTTCTAGTACGTAGTGTCAGAAGCAATGCTCCTCTTATTAAAATACCCAAATACTCTGCGAATGCGAGTGTGAGTGAGTGAGTGTAATACTGCGCGTGTGTGCGATTTTTACGTTTCTTGAAGTGTGTACGCAACACTCCGTCTCTTTCCTTTTACGTGTGACAAATATTTTTCTTGAAGAGTTTTTAAAAGATATTCTTTTTTTTTTGAAATATCTGGAATATATTATTACAATTGAGTTAAGTGATAAAGTACCCAAACATACAAGTGTGACACGTAAGAAAGAAGAATCAAGTAACTAATTTATTCAAATAAAATACCATATCGGTCTGTAAAATTAAGCAATATCATGTATCCCCACTGTCAATATTTACTATAATTATATAAATGAATTACTTCAACCATCTTGTTCTTTGATAGCGCAATAACCATTGAAAAAAATGTTTTAAAGTAACATCTATATATGTCCCACCGCTAGGCACGAGTCTCCCTTTCATTGTTGAGAAGATTTTAGAATAAGGAAGTATCCGTCGCGCCCCAATGCGTATTGACGGACTCCATATGAATTCAAATTTTATTTCATTTCTTAAACAAGCATGTTTTTCAAGATGTTTTCCTTCACCGCCGAGAACGTAATAAATTGGCATTTGGCACGTAATAAAGCACAAAAAGAGCAGGAGCTAAGCGCCATCCTAACTAGCTTTACTCTTTTTTTTATAGAATAAACGTGACGAATAAGCACACAGTCCAGCTGATAGTAAGTGAATGCTGTGGCCCATAGACATGTACATTAATCCTCGATTAAGAATCAAAATGCAGATGCGTTGTCACCCCTAAGGACCTAGGGTGGAACGCCTCGTTTCCAGTAAAAAGGGTCTCCAGTTTCCCTTCGTACACAACACGAAACACAACAGCATTAAGCTGCTATTTTACGCTGGTATCCTGTGAGAGCTTGGTCCTACCCTGGTCGATCCATTCGTGCTTAGTGTAACTGCAGTGTGGCTCTACCACGTTTAAAACTACCATAAGACACGACATGGCATTGTGTATTTATCTTAAATAGTGTTTTGTGTTCCAAACAGGTACGATGGAATCTATAAAGTAGTGAAGTACTATCCAGAAAAAGGCCTGTCCGGATTCATCGTTTGGAAATATTTGTTACGAAGAGATGACCCTAGTCCTGCGCCGTGGGAGCCCGGCGCTAAACATTATCCTATCATCGTAAGTTTATGTAATTTGTATTAAGATCTTACCATATCTTTATTGATTTTTATGCTTTTTATACTCATAACTTGATTTTAAACTGGTCTTTTTACAAAAAAATGTCCCGCTGGCTTCCTCAGTAGTCCTTCCCAGGACGGAGGTATATTCCAAACCAGTAGTAAATTAAACATAAGAATGACTTTCAAACTTTCAATAAGTATTATTTATAATCTTTTAGCCATAGAATGATAAGGGGAGATCTCCCACTGGACAAAGTGTTGGGTAGCGGCCAACACTCCTTATATTAGTACAGAGCTGTTCTATATATAACGCAGTGCTTCGGAACTTTGATAGCGTGATTTAGGCTTCGGTGTGTTTCGCTTGTAGCGTGATGTCAACGCTGCCACAATCTATATTGAATAAAAAACGTTTCTACTTCCATTTGTATTTTTAACAGTATCCAGATGGCTACTTAGAGGCTGAAGCTGAAAAAAAGGCTCTCAAAGAGAAGAAGTCGAAAAGCACCAAAGGAAATAAAAAACGCGCGCTTCAAGAGAGTAATCAGTCGACAGAATCTGAGCCCGATGCTACGCCGCCTAACAAGAAGCGCAAGACGTCGCCTGAGAAGCGGTCTTCTAGTAAAAGTAAAGGTTAGCTATTAATCCCTTACACGCTATAAACTCCACTGCTGAACATAAGCTTCGTCTCGTGCTTCATAGGGGGGTTTTGTCATACTTCATAGGGGGTATATTGCCATAGTTGCCACGCATGGCTGTCGGGTGGGCATTCGCAGTTTTTTGTAATTTTGAGTTGTTATGAGGAAGATGTTGCTGCCTATTACCTGTTTCAGTTACCTTCTTCTCTTTCGTAACTTCTTAAATAAGTGTTGCTAAACTATTTAAAAGTACAAGTATACAGGCTACGTTCGATCAACTACATATTTATAAGGAAATATATGTTTCCTTATAAATATGTAGTTCATTCCCACATACCCTTACAACCTCATAAACTACCCCTAACAACCCCCAAGCAGGCTAACACACCTAGCTCTGGGTAGAGCGAATTTAATCAACTACTTTCCTGTAAATAAATTGAGATTTCAACTACAGATAGGCTAACCCACCCCCTCACATACTTCGTTTCCACATACCTTTACAACCCTAATAATCTACCCCTAACAACCCCTAAGTATGCTATATTTCCTTACAAATGTGTAGTTGATCGAACTCGTTTTATCCAGAATCTGGTGATTTAGCCTGCTTAGGGGTTGATAGGGGTCGTTTCTACCCCTAAAAAGTGAATTTCCGCAGTGCTACAAGAAAGCAGACATAATTACGACTATTTAAAAAAAATATTTCATTTAGATTAGATTTACTGCCTCGCGCGTAGTTTTGATCGTTTCCGCCCACTAATATTGCATGTTTAACCTATAGTTTCTGCAATTAACTAGTAATGCGTGTAAGATGTTAAATGAAGGAGACATGTTGATTAGCTTAAGACTAATTTAACTGCTACTTATTAATTACAATTGACATTAATATATTATATATTATACAAGTCGTGTGGGCTGTTCTACGTCACAGCGAGTTATTAAACTGTCATATCAAAACTGGTATAAAATATCAAATACCTCAAGTTCTAAGTTACGGCCAATTCTTCGTAACTCCTTTTCACAGTGGTAGAGCCACGCGGCAGCTTTTGCTGTCGCACGGTTGGGCCGGCTCGAACCGGGTGGTACCACGACCTCACAGAAAACCAGCGTGAAGTAGAGGTTTACCTCTGCGTTTCGCTTGGTGAGTGCAGGTGGCCGGAGGCTCTTTTTACTGGAAATGAGGCATTCCATCTTGGTCCTCACGGGCGACAACGCATCTACATTTTGATTTGTGGATTTGTGTTGAATGGAGGATAGATGTAGATGTCTATGGGCCGCAGCAATCACTTACCATCAAGTGGACTGTGTGTTCGTTTATCACCCTTATCCTATAAAAAAAAAGACTGCAAGCGGGCAAGAGGACTACTTCTCGTTTTGTAAAACGCGAGTTACGACAATCTAACATTGATTTTGTTTAATGTTACTAAGAAAACGCTGTGATTATCTGTATGCGCACTTCGTCAATGTGATTTGAAGTTGATTTCAGATGGATATGTAATTTTAATTCGTATTTGTGTAAACAGTAACAGTAATTGTCGCAAATGAAAATATAACTGTGTCTATAGAATTGCCGGTCTGGTAGTACGAGAAGTATTTGTCTGAAACAGAAATAGAACTTTCTACAGAACATAAAACATAATTTCTTCTATGCTCCAGGCTTAAAGAAAGGTTCAAATGGTACTCCAAAGAAGACAATTCCAAGTATATTTAATGTTAAAAGTCCAAAGAGCAACAATACAACTCAAAAGGACACCGAGAGTACATTGAGTCCCGAAGAGAAGGAGGCTGTCGAGTCAGATACATTGAACTGCAAGCTGTGGGAGGAATGCATTGCGATGTGCCACAGCGGCGGGAAGAAGGTGAGCCTTTTGTGAATTTGAAAACACTCATTTATGTATTCAATTATTAATAGAATTAGTTGTTACTTTGCGGAAATCCATTATATTAAAGCTGTTGGAATTTCATTTGCTTATTTCCGCGTAATCAAACATAATTATGTGTCCTGCAAAGCTTGCGCTATCCCCGTCACCACCAATCCCAGCACCACTTACTTAGTACTTGAAGATATAGTTGCCTTTGTTGTATATGAAAGTACACATGTCGAACGAGCGCGTAATCCACATAATATTTTGTTGATCTCTAGGAGTTCGTGGAGCACGTGACACAAGTGTTTCTGTGCATTATATGTCAAGAAGTCGCCGTCAATCCTGTCACCACGCCCTGCTTGCATAACTTCTGCATGGTAAGTGTTGCTATGTCCTCCAGTTGTCCGCTTAGTTTAAAGTATCTATCTTTGGACCCTTAAATGCGAATTCTTCAAATATTATGCGAGTTTGTTTTTTAAACAAATTTAGTAGTAACCAACATCTATATACACGAAGTTTGTTTTTCATATTATACAAGAATGACGTTTTGTTTATTGTTTATACACAGTTCCGTTTTGTAAATGAGTACCACGTCGACAAAGAAATCAAAGAATATAAATATATGCATTTAGCCAATTTTTTTTAAATCGGACTGGTAGTTTAAAAATCCAAAACTCAAAGAAACTCTTCTGCTTTATTATATCAAGTATAGATTAAGAATCAAAATACACAAGCGTTGCCACCCCTGAGGATTAAGATGGAATGCCTCGTTTCCAGTAAAAGGGGTCTGCGGTTCTCTACACTCACTATATGAAACACTGCAGCATTAAGCTGCTATTTTACGCTGGTATTCTGTGAGAGGGTGGTCCTGCCCCGGACGAACCGACCCATTCGTGTTACAACTATAATATAGTTGCAGCGTGGCTTCAGCAGCCATGTACAAATCTACTTTTCATGTTAACCGTTTTTCAGGCGTGTTTGAAGCTGGCGTACAAGTCGACGGAATCGCAGAGTTGTCCGTGCTGCCGACAGAGCCTGGCCAAGTTCGAACCCCAGGTGAACGAGCCGCTGCGTACTGCTCTGCGGACCGTTATGCCTGGCTACGACGCGGGCAAGAAGTAACCCACACTTACACATTACACTTGAGGAACGGGAAGGGCTGGTGTTATGAGCATAATGGGAAGAATCACTAGGTTTAACAATTACCGCCTGTGAAAAGATTTACAATAGAATTGTAAGAAGAACCGACGTTATTTGTGACGATTGGTGACAACATTTTTACCCAACTGCCCCAGAAGGAGGAATGTTTTTCAAGAGAATGTATATATACGAGTATGTATGTCTATTTCTTTGGCACGCTCTGTAGCCTAAAGGGCTTTATGGATTTTAACATATGAAGTGTCGTTACATTCGTCTTAATTGTGGGAGTAACAAAGGCTATTATGTATTGCACCAGCAAACGCAAAATTGGGAGGGGAAGGTGTCTTTTTCAGTAAACATCTTAACTCAGTGGGGTTTTTAATTACTGTTTTAACCATTAAGCTTGTTTTAGAATGTCTTCGAGGCAATTACAACATTCATGAATTTTTTTTACCATTCAACTTCTGAAATATATTTTTGTTAACCATATTCGTTGTAGTTGTATTATAAAGATATCAGTTAATGCTTTATAGTAAATTAATTTCCTAATGTATTTCATTTTGAATTTTCAAGTCGACAATCAGATATTGTCTTCAGCTACATGAAATTGCTGTAGTGTATTATACAGTAATATTAATTTAATGTTTTAAAGTTGATCTGCATATGGATTTGTTTGTTATTTTTCAAACTGTTAATAATACGCTGCGTTTGTCACGCGAATGTATGTAATTCACTTTCGTAAGCTCATGGTACAAAATTAAATTTTCCATTTTTAAGTGTCACTGTATGTAAACTTTAGTGTAGTGTTTGTATAGTGAGGTATTTAAGAGTTCATTAAGGTTTTATTCAAGTGTTAATTTTTTTCTGCGACTTCGAGCGCGATGTAATCTTGTCTTTTAAAAGTGTCATTGTATTGGTGTTGCTACTGTCCTCTGGTATGTTACGGGTAACACGAATAATAATTTTTAAATAATATTATAAAAAGTAATTTTAAGTGTTCGGCTAATTTAATCATTGCGTTTTAACAGGCCATTCATTGTTCTAGAATAACGAATTATTCCATAAAATTAAGTCTGTCTTAACAACCATGTGTAACAGATAAATTTTTTATCCACAAATTAAACGATGTTGCAACAGTTTGTGTTTGTAGTCAATTATTGTATTTTAATTTAGTGTTTACATGTAAATTTATACACTTAAAATTAAGTAAGACGAAAAATTGTGATTCAACCAAATAAGTTATTTTTTTAAATTGTAAACTCCATTCGTATAAGTTAAGACGCGGCACACGACGGTATTATTAATTTTAGTTGTTTTATATTAAAATAATTAAATATAATTGACATACCTTGCTTGGCTTTTGTCAAGTGAGCGCGCGGAAGCCTTTGCGACTCGCTGGAGTATAGTATATAGCTGCAACTGTATGGACGATGTCTTGATCTGTAGCGTTGAAGTGCCTGTGCTTAATATTTTCTTTGCTTTTATTACTCGATCAATAAGTAAACCATGGATTAATCTCATGCGAAATCTGAATACGCATTTTACATAAGCACTCTGTAATAACTCGAAACATATTAAAAAAGGACCCACGTTACACATTTCATTTTTTCTTATAGAAATAAATCATACAAAGCCGTGGTAGCTCAAGGGCTAATCTTTACCTGTAAATTTCACAGTACGCGAGCAACCCGCGTTCGATCCCTGTTGACAACAATGAAATTGTCAATTGCAATTTTAAGAACACTTAAAGAAAGTATATGTATGAGATAAAGTATTGTGAAGTCCACCAACACGCATTGTGTCAGCGCGCCGGACATTTCCTTACCCACATATTATATAAAATATAAACCATACATTTGATACCGTTTATGGAAACCATTTGATACTAGATACGAAGGCAGTTTCTACGTCAAATCTGTACTGGTCCGGTCTTGTCGCAACTCAGTTGAACAAGGGCTATGCTTTTTACCCGACTGCCCCAGAAGGAGAGTAATGCTTTTCGAGTGTATGTATGTATGTCTGTTTCTTTGGCACGCTCTGAATTCTAAACGGCTTGATAGTTTTTGACATATAGGCTGTCGTTACAATCGTATAAGTTGTGGAAGTGACCCATGTATGAAAATATTATCTTTTCAGTAAGATTTTTAATTCCTCTTTTAACATTTAAGCCTGTTAACGGATAAGTGTTTATTATGTATAAGTTATAGCAAAGATATCACGTGTTTTGTTGTTATATGGTGTTAGGATCATGTGGCGATGTTTGTAATACTTTTAATTTTAATGTGTGACTGTAGCTGTTATCCTATTTTACTTTTATCTTAAATGTTTTTATGTCGCGTCGGCATGCATTGTCGCCTGTGGACTGGGTATTTTATATTCACAGCAGCCAAATAATTGATTTGTACAATAAAGAGCAGATTTAGTTTTTATTTCATTATTTCTAATATTAAACAATTATCGGCCTTACTTGTGATCGTAGATTATCGCTTACTCAAATTAAGTATTAGTTATCTTTATACCTGTCTCGTTTTATTGCTATTTAGTAAAAAAAATAGAGAGAGAAAGAGCTACTTTAAGTAATTCTTAAACTGACGTCGTTTTTTTTTAAAGAGTAATGCCTTATATTTGTGTCTTGTCTTGTTCCGTAGACATCAAGGATATTTAAAAAAATACACTAGTTACGAGGAACAGCATCCGGTACTTTTAAAGATTGTCCCAGCAGTGGATTATTTAGGAATTATAACGATAGTAACGGGTAACTTAGATGCCTGCAAGTCCGATAGAGAACACTTAAAACAGCAGTGGTAAAGGAAAAGTTACAAATGCGGTTTTCAATTCCAACAGTTTTGAGTGCGAAATACGTGCACTCGGCTCGTCAAGTTGAACATGTTATTAGTGTTTTTCAGTGTCTAAAGCGTTTTGCGGCGACTTATTGAACCCATTATGCCATTTATTTCTGTTGGTATAGTCATAGATGGCTATGAAAAGCCAAGAAGGCATTGTGGCCTCATGAAGAACGATATACATCATTCATATGTAAATACCTGAAGCCGTGTTTAGCGGCAGCGTTACATTCTTACATCTGCATTGCATAGAGGACGCCAATCCTAGCGAATGTGGCGATTTTGGTAAATCCTCCCGCTTCAATAGACATGTTCAGCTTTGGTCTCCAAGGTTAATCAAATAATTCAATGTTCGAAGATATTGGAAGATAGTATTTTGGCGAGAGCGTACATTTATAATTTTTTTCTTATATGAGCCAATGCTGATGGTAGATGGTGATGCTGCCAGTGATGGCAAAGCGCACTCACAATTTTTTTTTTTATAGAATAAGGGTGACAAACGAGCACACAGTCCATCTGATGGTAAGTGTATGCTGTGGCTCATACACATCTACAATTATCTCGAATACAGATGCGTTATCACCCCTGAGGACTAAGATGGCATGCCTCATTTTCAGTAAAAAGGGTATCCGGTTCTCTACACTCACTATTCGAAACGCAGCAGCATTAAGCTGCTGTTTTACGCTGGTATTCTGTGAGAGCTTGTTCCTAACCCGGTTGAGCCGACCCATTCGTGATACAACCATAATATAGCTGCAACGTGGCTCTAACACGTTTAAAACAGCACATTTAAATTCTATTTTCAAACAAATTATTTCACTCCATTGCTGTCCACTTGATGGTAAGTGGATGCTGCGGCCGTAGACATTTTATGCTCAAATAAAAATTACAATGTAGATGCGTTGTCATCCCTGATAGAATGCCTCGTTTTCCCGCTATAATAGGTCCCAGGTTTTCTACACGCACCATACGTAACAGCAGCATTAAGCCGCTATTTTACACTGGTATTATGGGAGAGCGTGGCCCTTTCCCGATCGAGCCGACCCATTTGTGCTATAACCATAGCGTAGCTTCGAGTATGTATTTGTATTGCTTCTTGTGGCATTTCAATAAAAGAAGTTTGAAAATATGTTATGATTTATTTTACCGGGAATTAACAACCCCCCCAAAAAGCTGAGCACAATATAATATCACGGACGTGTACAACAAACACATCAAATACAATAACGTAAATAGTCAAAATAACTTCTAATAAATATTTTATAAACTATTAACATCACAGATTATTAATAACTTGTGACCGGATAACTTAATTGACTTAATATAGTGCGGATTAGATCTGCAGTTTGCGGCCACTTTTACATCCGGTCACGCGACATCAATGTCGATATTAAAACGAACTATTCGGTAACAATTCCGCGAGGTTTACAATTTCATTAAAATCAATATGTATATGTAATAATTTCAAAATAATCTATGATCGAATATAGTCACAGCTGTTAAATTATACACTTCTCTGTAATTTAGATATACTTAAAGCTAATCGCATTAAAATGCGTCGCACATTGAATCTCACTGCTACAGAGCAGTCTCGTTAGTATCACTGCGCTCTCGCACACACTGTCGCTTAAAAATGTTCAGGAGCCTCCAGCAGCACTGCGTGGTACACGAGCACACGCATGGCGAAATGAGGGCTGATAATTTTCTGCTCACCAGATGTCGCTAGTTGACACTGAGGTAAAGTTTTTTGTCACACAAGGTAATTTAATTGGGAAATAAGTTTTTAATAAAAGTTCCAAGAGTATTATATTAATACACAAAACAATCCGTCAGTGGTTCGCTCTTTAAATTTTTGTACATTTTAAACTTTTTTTTAATCTTTCTACTTTGACACCTGTGGTGTGATTTATTTATTTTTAATCTTATTAATATAAAACATAGCTAATAGTACAGAAAGAGACAATAACTTTTACATTTCCCGAACAAATTAACTTCTCCGCTTTGAAATCTGTCAAATATTATACCTCACTTTCTAGTGGCGCCGCCCTGGTGGCAGAAAAAGTCGTGGATACCCTCAATACCTACGCCGTAGATAATATACTATATAGGGTAACCTACGCCTTAGTTGCAAGTTAACTGTTGCACACGATTCCAACTTTTTAGTTTGAGCGGGAAAATGTTTCTACGTCAGTATATTACAATTTCCTCAGCTTGTCGCGGCACTACAGTTGCGTTAAATGCGTATCTTTATTATACGCGTATTATTCTAATTGCCCAAGAGTACATAACAAAACGACAATAGTTAAAACAAATGTTTTACCTTATTCTCCAACCGACCTAATTCTCATCATGTCTTTTAATGAAATAAGTTTTGGACCGAAATGAAAGCAACACCGTAAATGTGGTACAAACTATGGTTTATAATTTAACTATAGTTTTATATTACCATTAACGAACGCTATAATTGTTGCAATAATGCTTAATTAAATATTAGTGCTTGGATTAAATGACATTTTCACATCGGCCACACGCAGTGCTATCGAAGTTAAGAAAACAATCTAGACATAAACTAAGGCATTTTAAGAAGTGTTACTAACATTAAATGCGCCTTTCAATAATTGAAATTTGCTTTTTATACTTAGGGTGATTTCGGAGTTAAACATTCGCATGTTAAAAGTGTTGTTAGACAATTACATTATATGCAATAACAGTTGTCACTTAATTAATTAATGTATAGCCTTCTAGATTTATCTACCTTGTAAGAGGACCGTAAATAAGGAGAAAGGTCTATAACAAATGTTAGTTATATTACTCACTACAGCTAAGTTTTCTTGAATTACAATATTATGCTAGGTAATACTTAAATAAATAACAAATTACATTTACATTGTACAGCCCACGATTATGTACTAGATTAGCGCTTAAAGCGCTAGTTTTTGATCCTATCTAAAGTTTGTATCGGTTTGCAATTTGAATAAACGTTTATTGCTTTGCTAAAAACGATATTAAGGTAAGTTATCCTGATATAAGCCCTACCAGTCTACTTTCACTGTCCATTGTACTTAAAATATGCCACGGACGGTTCTGTACATAATGGCACTGTCTCACTAACTGCCCAACTTATTCTCAAGGTACCAGGCTAGTTTCGTTGAAGTTAACCGTCGTGTTGAGTGTCGGTCCATGTCCATATCCTTGTCCGAAGAACTTTGTGATGATGCCTTCGAGCGAGGTCCATGTACCGACCACGAGGCCCAGCGCGCCGAACACCACCACTATAGCGTTCTTGATGATCATCCGGATGCGTTCCGAGGGCGACACATAGTACCAGTAGGTGCAGCTCTGGATGAAGGCGGGGAACGCCAGCCCCAGTGCGGAGAGACAAAGCGCTCCGAACAGGGAAATGAACAGGTCCAGTTCCGGGACTACCGCTGCGATGCCGACTGTGAACGAGTTTACGTTAAGATTTATTTAACAGAAATGGTAATAAGTGTCTGAAAAAAGTGCAAATCATTGATAAAAAATGCAAGTAGCTTTTAGTTTTTATAAATTTTGAGGCTAATTTCTGTGGTTGCCCTATTCGTATTTTTAATCTTGATAAATAAAAATGAAATAGCTTTTTTTTTCAGAATATAATGTTAATGCTTAATGTTACTCATTAACAAGGTCGGACGTCACATGTTACGTATCATAATAATATGCGGCTACTGTAAGGCTCGCTAGTCTTTTTTTCATCCTTTCATTTACTATGCCTCCTAAATTGCTTCATAGAGGGATATCAAGACGTTTTTATAAGGAGTCATATTTCGTTGCTACTCAGACTTTAGAATCTGCTTGTTATACGCTTACTTCTATCAATTTACAAAAAAATGATTGAATCAAAATGTGCAGAAAGCGATCGCCCCTATGCCTATGGCAAGAATGGATCAATTTTACCGACAAGTTTCTTTTGAATATCAGTAGTCTTACGGCCAAGTAAACATTTCACACGGTGCTCTGAGCCGTTTTCATCGAGATTTTACAGAAAAATTAATCATTATGCATGCAAAGGCCTGCCCCAAATAATGCCTAAAAGACGGTCCATAGCCACGATCTAGTGGGGGGTCGCCCTACTTTCTTCTCGTCAGCACGAGGCTGTCACTCGTGAATCTTCGTTTCCCATCTGTTGTCGGTTCTTCGACCTTAAGTTTCCTTAAACGGCCACTTTGTGAACCCGTAAAAGTAAACGTGGTAAACCAGCACCTAAAATTGTAATTTACAATTACATTACCGGCGGAGATTGAATGAACCCTCGGGTTGCTCGCGTACTGTGAAATTCACGAACAAGCGATTACCGACCACGTCTCCTTAGGTATGTAATGAATACTAACATGTGAGGAGCACAATGACAGTCCGCAGTGTGTACTCCCACAGCAATCGGTGCGAACTGTTGAGCAGCCGGACTCCGATGTACTCATTCCACAAGATGTCGATGGCTACGTAGCACGCCAAGCCGTGTGATACGAAGATCGCGAACGCAAGCAGGCACTGCACCACGTTCGCCAGCCTGCAACAACCATTTATCCATTTAAAAACCCAACCAACATTTTAAAACTTTACAATAAACTATAAGCTAATGCCTACCACTTCGCTTTTATGCTATTATAAGACAACCGTGTACTCTTTATAGTGAAACTCTATGGGTAAGAGAACTAATCGATTATAATCGAATATAAATTGTACAAAAGGATTGTAACGTCTGCATTAAAATGTCACTTACACAATTTCAAAGGAAAACACGTACTTAGACACTTAAAACAAGTATCCTTCCGCTTGCACCTGATGTTTGATGACAACTAAACTTAATCAGGTCTAAACAAGTGAATTTTTTTAACACATGGCACAATAGGCGTGTCACGAAATATTTTTTCGCCGCCACAGCTAGAAATTTTCGAAAATTGTTGTCGCAACGAATCGGACGAAGTAATAAAATAAAAATCCTTAGTACAAAACTTATGAAAACTGTATAGTATATAATATTAAATTTTGGTTTGAAATGAGACTAGAAACCATCAAGACAAAATAACAGTTAAATATGATATGAGCTGACGAGACGCCCGCAAAAAAAATTGAGTTCAAAGTGATAGAAGTTGTGTTAATCCTATATCTCAAAGAGAACGTCTCTGGCACGTATTTTCAAAACATTTACAATGTACAAATTCAATCCCCTTTACTGATTATCATGAATGTATATTTTACAACATCGGCCCATAAAACTCCCCAGCTAGACATAAGCCCCCCAAGTTTTCTCCACCAATATTAAATTTAGATCATTGTTCATATGACCTTTTTAATTTATTTTTAGTGCCAACGCGTATTGATCAATCTAGTGCAACATGTATAGATAACATTTTTACAAATGCTAAGCCGTTGCATAAATGTATTATTCAAAAATTAGTTTCTGATCACTGTGGACAATTAAGTTTCGTTAACTTATGTGTTTCTGTGAAAAAAGCAAGTAGATGAGAAAGCTGTTTGTTTCAGTAAATGCACGTCGCTTGGAGAGGTTTAGAAGTAACATAGTGAAAAAACTTCCATTACTTTCATACCAAAATGATCCTAATTTTTTGTATGGAACACTTTAACTTTAAGCTTATTTGCAATGACCTAATACTTTTACTTCTAAAACATTCTCCTTGAACAGTCTGAAGGCATTCAATGAATGGGTGACAGTAGGAGTCCATAAGAGCAGACAAAGGTTATATGAACTTTACCGTGAAAGGTCATAATATAATCCTAGTGTCGAATTTATGGAATATGTAAAAAAATATTTAAAAGAGTCTGCTCCACAGCCAAGTCTGCATTTGAGCAACAAAATTAAGACGGCTTCTAATAAAATTAAAATGACATGGAGTAGGGGAGATGCGTGTAATGCGATCCCTCGAGGTCACCGGACACAATTACTCTCTCGGTAGAGAGTAATTGTGTTCTGTAGTTCTGTCTCCGAGTGTCATGGCGGTGTGAGCATTTAGCGTGATTTTATCAATTTTTTTTTAAATCGTGCTTCTAATCTATGGTAAACCTAAGGGGAGGACCTGAGTCTTGTCGATACCACCATTTTCTTGGAATTACACTAGACGCGAAGCTACAATGGATCAAAATTAGCAAGCAGACTTAGTTCTGCAGCATATGCTGTAAAAATATTAGAAATCTTGTTTACTTTAGCTATTTCCGTAGCATAATGTCGTATGGTATTTTGCTATGGGGACACGCAGCCGACACTGAAATTATATTTGTCCTAGGGCCATAAGACCTATTTATGATTTAAAGCCTAAAGAGTCGCTGCGACAAAAATTTAAGGAAATTAACATATTAACTTTGGTCTCATTTATGAAAATGTAATGTAGGTAAGTACACAAAAATTAAAGTAGTTTTACAAAAATAAGTTATATTAATTCTGTAAACACTAGGAACAGACAAGCTAACAGTAGCAGTTACTCGACTTCACCGAGTCAGTAATTCATTCTTGGGACGATTTTACAACAAAATTCATAATATACAAAATTTGACCTGCTCATAGTTCAAAAACTTTATTAAACTATGTTTGTATAAAAAGTTATTATAATATTAAGGAATTTATGGATGCTAATAACCCCTGGAAATGAGGTTAGCGATCACCAAGCTATTTCTAATTTGTTTTGTGTGGTTAATTGTGTAACATACATGATTGTATGCTGTTATTTAAAAAAAAATCCAGCTGAGTTTCTTGCTGGTTCTTCCCAGGACAGAGGTTTTGACAGGTGGTAATTAAACATAAGAGTGACCTTCAATAAGTTATTTATAATCTATATCATGGAAATACATGTACTTCGTTGTCTATACTTCCGTGATCTATATTGAATAAAAAAGTTTCTGTTTCTATTTATGTTTGCCTTAGCCGCCACGCTTGGTAGACTATAGACTTAGAATATACTGGCGTAAGTATATTCTATGGTTAGCACTGACGCAACTTGTCTGACATAAACGAGATGCTTATACCGCCATCTATTGATAGCCATGAGGCTTAACTGGGAAATCTAATTTATTATAGAATTAGGGTGACAAACGAGCACACACTCCACATGAAGATAAGTGTGTCACTTGTGGCCCATAGACATCTACATCCATCCTAGATTAAGAATCGAAATGCGTTGTTTCCAACAAAGAGGGTCTCCCGTTCACTATATTCACCATAGAGCAGGAAACACAGCAGCATTAAGATGTTTTTACGCCGGTATTGTGAGAGCGTGGTCCTTCCGCGGTCGAGCCGACCCATTCGTGCTACAACAATAATATAGCTGCAGCGAAGCAAAGTGAAGTTGGTGAAAAAAAAAACTGTAGACTTACGTCTCCGTTCCGGAAGGCAGGTTAAGTGTTATGCTGCCGGCGGCTTCGTTACCGTACTGCAGGTAGCCGAACAGCCCCATGGCCATGTACAGAATGATAATACTGATCATGGCACGGTTGAGCACACCGAACTTGCCCACGAAGGCTTTCGGGGTTTTCATTTCGTTCTCAAGTGGCAATATCTGTGGAAAAAATGACAAAATATTGTATCATTATGCCTACTTCAAATTGACAGTCGGATTACCAGTGCGATTTATCATCTTTGGCTTTTTGGTGCCGTAGGTTTTTAAAACAAATGATGCCCTAGATTTTCATTTTATGTTGGTTTTTAATTTGAAGCAAAATAGCTTTTAACTATTAATTTGCAAATAAATAAAGATACGTGCAATATGAAATATGAGAAAAAAAACATTGCGAATATTGACGATCGCTGAATTCTCACACAAAAATATCCTAGGTATTTTTAGTTCATTTTATATTATAGTAAATCAATTCTAAATGCATTAATAAATTTGTAATAGCGAGAGATTAATTGCTATTTTGATTGACTACTAACATTCATATTTCAACCAACTTCAAAAAAGGAGGAGATTCTCAATTCGTCTGAATCTTTTGTTTTATGTATGTCACGATTACTCGAAGACTCCTGAACCGATTTGAAAAAAATCTTTTTTTGTTTCATAGGATATACTTTCCAGGAGGTCCCATTAAAATTTTATCGAAATCGGTCAAGCGGTTTTAAAAAAATCAACAATAAATTATTTATATTGAAGTCGGTCGTACAAAAATTTTGATTTTACCACTTGTTGTATAATAAAATAAATATTTTTTGATACGTGTAAGCGATGCGCTCTCTGCGGAGACGTTCAAGGTTCGTGCTTGATTATAAATCTATCACTGGTTGTAGACACTGACACTGATATAATAAGTAAAAACAAAATATGAAATTCACTTACCACACCGATTGCCTCCAAAGCAAATAATACAGTTCCGAAGAATAGTGGGAATTCTGCAATTTTTCCAGCCGGCACTTTGCCCTCGATGTTCGGCATTTCCCTAAATATGTAGTAGAGGATGATTGCGAAGCTGACGATTGTGACGGCGTTAGCGATGGCGGAGAAGGGTGCGAGATACTTGAGGTCGGGCACCCAGTTGATAAGCACCAGCGGTAGCAGGATCCACACCATCACCTCCGTCACAGTCACTTCCAGCTCGAAGTGCTTCGTCAGTACGAATTGTATATTCTCCGACACGAAAACTACGTACACGCAGCAGCTGCCGATTTGGTAGATGAGCAGAAACGCATTTACCACGTGCCTAGAACAAAAAATTATATCATCGTGTAGAATAACCGAAGGGGAAGAAAGGTTCTCGAGGGGCGGCCTCGTTCCGGTAAGCGAAGTGCAGAGAAGCCCCTCACTAGATAGAGTGACGACCTGGTAAGACATGCTGGTGGCTCAGGAGCGTTCTTTGCGGCATACCTTGGGAGGCCTATGTTCAACATTGGACTTGTGATAGTCTTTAATAATAATGATGATGATGATAATATGAAGAGTGTAAAGTGTATCGTACCCACAGGTCAATCGTGAATTATGTTAGGTTTCATGAATATCCAGTGGACACGTGTTTAGGTCATGAATTAATATTTTGTAGGCAGCCTGGCCCTATTGAGAACACAGGCAATCTAAAATTAGGAGATGAACAATTATCAGGTAGCACAGCTAGTCGAATTCGTGAGATTTTGCAAGCAATATATATATTACAGTAAATCGGTTTACTTTGTACTTTAACCGCGTGTGAAGGCAATGCATCATTATGTGCACCGAATCTATACGACTTTGCTTTTTTATAAACCTTACTCCTACATTACGATAGGAACAAACATCCAGACTGGGAACAATTGTTTGTTGGCTATACGAATACATGTTCCGTGCGAGATTCGAGCCCTCATCGCCGCCACTCAATGCTAAGCCATTGCACTTCGGAGCCGACCTAAATTTAAATCATCAATATTTCAAATTGTCAATACAATTTCTTTAAGATTAAATTATTCAAGGTTGCCGTATTTATGTTTGCTTAATCAGTTGGTGCAGCCTGTTTGTCGAATGTTAATTAACTGGTAAAGTTAGTCGCACTCGCATCTCAGTGACCTCAGAGTGCACTTGTGGAACAAGGCTTACCGGCGGTGTGATAACCATAAACTCTGTCTGTAAACAACTGCTCTGCACATGTCGACACCATTTAAAAAATTAAATAACTTTCCCACGATTCTCTTCTGCATTGGTTCATACACTAATAATCATATTATGCCTCTCCCGTTGCAAAGTGCACTTGTCACGCTTGGTAAGCGTGAACGTGACAAAGCAAAGCTATTAATTTTATAATAATAATTTAACACAGAATCTATACAAATTATTAAAGTTAAAAGAAGTGTCTGTTTGTAATATTAAAATAACAGCTTTTACTAAATGCATATGAAAGTAGTATATACGGTACTTATAACAAAAAAAAAACAATATTTGCGGAACGGAATTGATGCAATATGAACGGATTGACCAAACTTTAGCTACTAGCCTTGAACTAAGTAGTAGCCGTGACTTGGTCACCCGTGGTGAACGAAGAGGAACCCATATGGCTGGCCCTAGGCGATTCCAAGTGGGCTTGGCAAGCACTTTGGATGCGTGTTGGTGGGCTGCGGCGAGAGGGGTGTCCTTCCACTCTACCGCTGCAGCCAAGGTCAAGCCAAGGTCTTCTAATCGCCCTGTACCCCGCAACTCTGGCGGGGCCGCACCGTTGATGCGGTGGTGATGGGGCCAGGGATCAGGAAAGCTAGTGCTTTCGAGTGCTCGTTTTTTCCTGGCCCCATGGCCTCTGTGTATCGGCCTCGGGGCAGGGGGGTGGGGAGTCCGTTGCACAGATGGAGTAAGACTTTGGTTCCCTCAAAAGGTGTCAACATTTTCAAACGAACACCCTCCATCAACCCTCCTGAGCCACCTGATTCTTAACCTAAGGCGTGGTCGCTAGGGTATTCAGGTTATTTGTACCGTTGATCATTTGGGTTATATTTACCATGGCTGCGCCACGTTTACTAGCGGGTTGGTAAAAGTAATTTTTAACGGTTAGCACACAGCCAGTTTAGGTACGAGAATGAACCGAGACGAGATAATATGATAACATTAAAACGATATTTGGTATATGGCCAGGAAAAGGTTTCTTGACCTTTGAGTAATGTAAAATCAGCGGTAAAACTGCTGTTGAATATGAAGCTCTAGGTAGCAGGTACGGAGGATTTGCCTCATACGGGGAAGAGCTTGTGAAGTACGTATTATTATTGGTTTTTTCTTGTAATATTATTTATTCTGTGGTATATTGATTACAGAGAACGAACAATTGTATAACTGAAAGTTATTAATTGTATGCGCGGATTATTTTTGCCGAGTAGAGTTATGCGCCTTTTTAGCGTTTACCGCTAAAAAGAACCCCTTTGTCCAGGGGTGTCACTTCCACTATGGAAGGTATGGAGCACTCCATACCTCAAGTTTTTCAAGGTATGGAATTCCATAGTTGAAATTAGGAAATAAATCGCATATTACTACAAACCCCATATAAATAAATCGCAAGCCCTTAAACCTCAATACCCCACATCTTATAGTTCAATAAATAAGTTGAGTATATACACTGCAAACTCTTAAACCTTAATACCCCACGAGTAATGCGAACAAATTTGAAAATCGCGCCACCATTTTCCATACCTCAGATTTTTACAAAGTGACACGCCTGCCTTTGTCGTATCTCCTCAGTTTCAAGGCACTCCCCTTGCTGCCTCAGCCAGTATCGGAATCTTTGGCGTCGACATATCGAATAGCGTGCAGTTTCGTGGTCACTTGGAAGGGAAGGCCAAATTGGCCTCTAAAAAGCTTGGCGTGCTCAACAGAGCGAGACAGTATTTCATGCCGGCACATCGCTTGCAACTTTACAAAGCGCAAGTTAGGCCCCACATGGAATACTGTTCTCATCTCTGGGCCGGGGCACCCCAGTGCCAGCTCCTTCCACTTGACCGCAGCGATTCAAATCGTCGACGACCAAGTTCGTTCTGATCGGCTCGATACACCGGCACTGCGTAGAGATGTTGCATCTCTTTGCGTATTTTATCGCATCTATCACGGGGAGTGCACTGAGGAATTGTTCGGACTAATTCCAGCCGCTCAATTTCACCATCGCACATCGCGACAAAACTTGCGTGATGATTGGCGGTCCACCACTGTGCGATTTAGAAGAAGTTTTCTCCCTCGCACAACTTCTTTGTGGAATCAATTACCACCAGCGAATTTTCCGGACCGATACGACTTAGGAACCTTCAAGAAAAGAGCTTACACCTTTCTAAAAGACCGGCAACGCATCTGCAATTCCCCTGGTGTTGGGGTTGTTCATGGGCGGCGGTAGTCACTTACCATCAGGTGAGCCGCATGCTCGTTTGCCCCCTATTCTATAAAAAAAATGGCTTATGGCACATTATGTAAGATGCTTTCTGTTGTTAAGTTTACAAGATGTGCTTTGAATATTAAATACTTTTCAAGAAATGTTTACAAATAACGAAAACTACTGATCGTACGATCACTTGTATTTTGTATTTACGAACTCTCTTGTACCTACGCGAGGTATGTATTAAAATGCACACGGGCTTCTCGTTGAAATAACTCGTCAGCCCATTGAGTTATATGTACTACATATAACTCAATGCGTCAGCCTTGAACTATACCAAATGTTTTACAAATTAAAAGACCTTCCTATTCATTTTTATACCTATAAATAATTTTTATTTGGTGTTCGGTCGATGACCCCTACCTAAGAAATTATCTAAAGGGAATATTTATTTTTATAAGCTACTAATTTACCAAACTAAAAGATTCAGTAATATAGTAGGTACCAGATACCCAGAAAAAATATTTTGCCTTCATTGAAGACTAGTCTGTAGGTACTTAAAACGTTGTTAAGTGATAGCATATATTCAAGTGTTTAACAAAACTCAAAATGAAATAAGACAATTAGATTATAACCGATTTAGACGTAATTTATTAAATGGCTTTTGGAAAAAAAAATATTCGGTAAATGAATTGCTGCTATTTTCTAGCTCTAAGTTTTCATACACCAAAACTGGTGAAATATGTGATACTTTGTTATTTTATACCAACATCAAAGATATACCATATTTCTTATGAATATTTATTATTATATATATATATATATATATATATATATATATATATTATTAATATTATTTTGGGGTATTTATAAAGTATTCTCATCTGGTTGACCTGAATAAATATTATATAAAGTAAATGATAATTATACATAAACGTACATTATTATTGTTACTATAAATTGGCAAGACTCGGTTGCAGACTTGCAGAATGCACAGCAATATTATTTGTTGCAAGCTTTAGGTACAGAGTTTTTATTTTAAGAACGTGATAAGAAAGCACAATCATTTCAAATGAGGCAGGAAAAAGGAAAACGGTAATTGTCGTGTGTATTACGTATGCGGTATGCTGCTCGTCGATTGTCTATCACACGGTATACTGACATACGTTCTACATTTTTAGTTCAGTACTGTTAAATAATCCATTCCATTCCAGCCTAAAACAGCTCACTGGTGAACCTCCCCCATAAATTGCGTCGTAGTGGGTATTTATTTATAGTAGCCACCGTTGCTGCTGGTTGGCCACCGCAGTCTTTGATTATTTTGAGTTGTTATAAGGAAGATGTTGTGCCCATGTTCTGTTTCAGTTTCCCTGTGTCGCCTCGTACGACACCCGCGGGACGAAATGGGGTAGTGGATATTCTTACACCGCTAGTGCATGGTGTACTGTTAAAACATATTCCTTCAAAACATATAAAATGCTTTGATGTGCATCGCTTGTAAAAGATAAACAAGTTATAACTACTGTAGTAATAAATACTAAGACCCTAACACTGCCTAACATAGTGAATGAAAACTATATTATATCACTCTATTGAGGGGGAAATCTTTCATATTTTTTTTTAACTTAACTATTGTTTTTTTCTCTTTCAGACCAATTTGTTTATTAATATGTAAATCTAGAAATGTTTCTACATATGTTATAAGAAAAAAAAGAGTGCTCACTTTCCCATACTGTTAATGTTAATTAAAAATTACACTATTATCGGTGTAACAAATGTAAAAGAATTGCACTAAACTAAATGGAAATAAAGCGTAGTGGACTCCTTGTTTATGAAAAGAAAATATCTCAAATTATTTTACCGGATATAATATGTTTGAAATAGTCAACGATAAACAACAGTAAATTTTTTATGATCTATAATGAAATTATAATTTATGCTCTCTGCTCTGTTTCTTTCAGTTTCAAAATACCTATATCTATAATCTTTACAATAATCTTTAATATATACCTATAATCTTTATGACGCCAATAGCATGGTAATTTTTATGTTCTAGCGCAGACAAGATTCCTAATAATTTAGAATTAGTGACATGATTTCGTAAAACAGGTATACGATTCACATAATAATTGAGAATTCTATGCTTAGAAGCTCCAGCTGTCTTGGTGCTCTGTACTCTGTACTTTATCCTAAAGCCATTCAGCAGCAGTGCAGTTTTCCTTGGCATCATTATCACTTACAATGGAGAAGTCATATTGAAGCCTTGTCATTGTCAAGGAGACTGTGTATGCAGCTAACAAATAAGGATATTCATGGATGTAGAGAGAGCAAGGTTGTCTTATCGACTTTTTATATTTACGATTACGCGAATACTCATTGAATAAAAATAACATTTACGGAATTTATCGCGTTTATTTTTGCTTTTTAAGTCACGAAAATAACCATAGTGCGTTGCCTGGATTAATTACCTTCAGCTTTTAATTATTAATTTTTGATGCAATCTACTTAAAACGAGCTAACTTCACCTTGAAATGTAGTCGTATGCTTTGGTTTGAATTTAATTTAATTTATTACACGCGATCCACCTCGGTTCCGCGCGGGTGATTCTTGGGCAACAGCGCCACCTACTGGACCTATTTGTGAATCAAAACCATCCAGGGACCCATTCAAACGCACACAAAAATTTCCTCAAAATTGGTTCCGTTTCGAAGGAACTCAGTAACAAACATCGGGGATGCCAATCAGTTGTTAACACCCAGCTATCTTCTCTATTGAAATTTGAATGTTTAATAATTTTAATAGCCTCGTGATCATCTTTGATCAGGTGTACAAAATCTTTGTTCTTTTTTAGAACAAGGTGTATAGTGGCAGTGTACGAATTTCCACTACTCCATATCATCCCCTGGGTTTCGTAAGAGGCGACAGAGGGAAACAAATCAGGAGACGGGCAGCAGCGTCTTCCTTATAACGAGTTAAAATAAAAAAAATCACGGTTGCTAATTATCTTGCCAAGCGTGGACGCACCATTATCAACATAAATTTATTGTGGTGTTCATAGCAACAGTAGTTACCACAAAGTAGACGATTAGCTCGTACGACACTTTAATATAATAACGAAACAAATCGTGGTTAATTGCTGTAGTGGCGGTGTATGACAACGTCGCTCCGAACTTAGGAGAGGTTAAAGTTTTCAACCGACTTCAAAAAAGGGGGAGGTACTCTATTTGACTAACTTTTTTGGGTGTTACCTCAGAACTTTTTTCTAGGTGAACCGATTTTAATGATTTTTTTTATTTGAAAGCTGGTGCTTCCCGGACTTGCAATTTTTTCATGGTGCTAAATCATCAATTAAAATTGAAATGAACAATTTCGTTGGTGCCGGTGGGGATAGAACGCGGGTCGCGTACTATAAAAGTTTCGGCGAGCGGTAACTCCTGAGCTAGCACGGCTTTAACATTGTATAGCCTGCGTCCTGCGCCAGTACTATTATATATAATTGTATGATAGCACGATCCGAGTAATATTTGTAGGTAGACAATCAACGGTTACTTAAGAGCGTAGACGGGCTGCATTTTTTCCATACAAATGTATTCCCCTATTGTCTACTTGGATAATGCCTCTAGAGTAATAGTTTTTGTTTATAAAAATCTAAGTCTATTGAAGGCATGCCCCTGTCATACATTTTTTTCCAATAAATTATTACAAAAATAAATATGACTTTCCAAAAACCTAAAAAAATGCCCCGTTTTTACCTCCGTAATCAGACAACTACCAAAGAAATTTGAAAAGTTTTTAACATAAAATCAAGTAATAGGAGCATAGATCTATTCTTCCTTTAAATTTTGATACCAAAAATAATTTAATCGGCTTAGTTTTCGAGGAGGAAACAGGGGAATACGAAACATCGATCTGTCATGGTTTTTGTAGGTAAAATCGTTCTGATCTGCAGTTGTCCCTATCACACTCTATGGGGGGAGACCATATATAGCGCGACGGCAATAGTTTATTCAAATACCTATTTCACAATTCCCGCGCAGACCGACTACGCTCTTAATGACACGTCAAGTTGTAACCATACGATTGCTCTTCGGACTTCTATATATATATATATATATATATATATATATATATATATATATATATATATATATATATATTTCTTCTAACGAAATTTATTTTTATAATTATTTAAATAATTATTTGATAAACAGTTTTGGATAATTAACATTACACATTATCAAACTTTAGAATATTTATATATATATATAATGTTTTATAAAATAAATTTAAACTTTTCAAAGAATAAGGGTGACACACGAGCACACAGTCCACCTGATGAATTAATCTGAATGACAAACCTGAATGAAATTTGATGAATGAAAATGAATGTCTCGTAACCAGTAAAAAGGGTCTCCGGTATTCTACACTCACTATACGAAACAGCAGCATTAGGCTGCTATTTTACACTGGTATTCTGTGAGAGATATCAACGTAAATAAGCAACTCACGCAGCATAGGGCGCGCATGCTTTGCACCAGTCAGGGCCCTCGGAGAGTGCAGCCTCAGCTGCCGCCGTGTATGTCAACGAGGGCACCTTCCGGCGCTTGCACAGCACGTAGCACGAGTCGATGAGCACATGGATGCAGTAGGTGCACAGCACTCCGATCACCAGGGTACCAATGGTGCCCACCACGTACCCCGACTTAGAGAACGCGTGCGGCATCGCCAGGATGCCTGTCCCCAAGCTGCCCTTAAGCAAGTGTAGTAGTGTCTCTGTGTTCCTGTAACAATGAATGTTGTACACATATAGTAGGTATCTGACTTTTTATCGACCATAAACGGAATGGAGTAGCCATACGCTGGCGTTTTGTCAAAGTATAAGGCCACGCGGTCCTATGCGTACAATAAAACTTGTAGCAGCCGCACTAATCACTTGATTAAATTTGGCGCTGCTGAATCGACGTCCTACAAAAATGCCGAATTGTTTACTTTTTTGCAAAAAAGAGATCTGTCACGTAAAAATTTACATAAAGATGGCATTACATTTCATATATCTACTCATAAATAATTTTTAATGACACTATTTCTATTTACTTCTTTTTAAACCTAAAAATTACAATAATAAAGATCGTGTTGTTTCGGATTTGTTTACCAACACAGGTCACTCGCTCTCATTTATCAATATTTAGATCAGTCGAGCGAGTTATCCAAATCTGTATTCCAGTTGTGACTGTCACCACTGAGCAATACTGTTATGTTTTTTTTATAGAATTAGGGTGACAAACGAGTACACAGTCCACCTTATGGTAAGTGGTTGCTGTGGCCCATAGACATCTACATCTATCTTCGTTTGCGAATTAAAATTCAGATGCGTTGTCACCCGTGAAGACTAAGATAGAATACCCCTTTTCCAGTAGAATAGGTCTCCGGTTCTCTACACTCACCATACAAAACATAGCAGCATTAAGCTGCTATTTTACGCTGGTATTCTGTAAGAGCGTGGTTCTTCCTCGGTCTGACGACCCATTCGTGCTACAACTACACAATTAATATAGCTGCAGCCTGGCTTAACCACGTAAAAATGTATCAATGTATGTGTAAACTTGTTAGTTGTAGTTTTAATTGTGTGAGTGCCGTTGTGACAGACAATTACTGTTTTTGTGTGCGCAGAATTCCACCAGCAAAAACGACAGGCAGTTCTATGTCAGGAAAAACGCTATTGCTACCTCGGCTCCTGTCCGCCTGTGGCCCGTGTTGCTCTGTGGTATCAACTTTCTGTAATCTGTTTGTTGTTCAGAAATAATTTTTATCCGTTATGCAATTTATTCGCAATCAGTTGCGTCGGCTTTCAGTGTGGAAGAGCATTCGTTAGCCGTTGTTTGGCCGACGCTGTATGTAATATTTGCAAAATAATAAGGGCTTAGTATGACATGTACACTGTTTTTTCAGTTCAAGTTTTAGTATTTATTGGCGGCCTCGCCTGGATGTGATCCATTAACGTAACGTTATTTAGACTTGAGATAAAGATAATCCAAGACCATTTATTTTATCAATTTTTTTTAATGTAAGTTATTGGAATAAAATATAGTCTAGATTCCTCCTGGCATTTCTCTCTATCTATTTGTTCTGACAATTAGCCTGGACAGACAGACAAAAATTTTAAAAATGGTTATTATAATAACCATTACCAATAGTAAATGGTTAGTATAAATAAGCCTAAAAGAAGCCAATTCGGCGCTAAAAAATTACTCTTATTTGCAGTTTTCCATTAAGTCTAATATATTTAATTTTCTGATGAAAAAAACTAGTAATCGGGGAAAAAAAATTGTTTTCTTGCTCTCCTGTAATTTTTTGAAAAATTGAGGTTCGCCCCTTTGCGGCGTCAACGACGAATTATTTCAAGACGACACTTGAATTTTATTTATACTTATAGATAATATTTTAATTAACATTTCAGTTTTTGTTAAAAATAATATATTTTTTTCGCCTGGATAGGATCTATTAAAGTAATTTTTTATTCCTTATTTATATTTCAAATACTCAGAGACCAATTATTTTATCATTTTTGTTTTTGTTTTTTTTTCAACATAATTTCCAATGTTTTTGGATAAAAAAGAGCCTAGATCACTTCTGGTAGAATTACTCTCCATCTGTGAAATTGCATCACATTCAATTCAGCGCTTCCAAAGTTTAGCCCGGAGAGACGGACCTATCTAAAAAAATGGTCATCAATGTGATACTGGCATACGAATAACCCTCAGCATTTCGAAATAACAGATCGACACTTCATTTTTATTTACATGTATGTATAATATTGGATTTCTGAATCTAAATTGCATTTGTTTGTAAAAAAGTCCAGTTACAGTCCTTCCACTTGGCACATACCTCTAACAATTTCTGGTGGCGGCGGAATTGAACCCGGGGTTGTTCGAGTACCGTTTTAATTTTATTGTTCTCTAGTGTAGACAGGTCAAATTTTTATGTAAAATTTTAATATATAATAAGTAACGAAAATTTTACGTTTTTCCTCAGGAAAAACGTCATAAAAGTCAAAAATCACTCGATACAAATGGAACCTGGGAATTCACCGTATAGATTAATATTCCAGCGGCTTATCCGATCCGAATAATACATCGAAGCGTCGTGTCGATTAGAAGTTGTTGCACGTCCACCTACTGTGACGTAATCTATACTTTGCTCTAATTCTGTATTTACGAGTATTACCATACAAGTCTATTAATTGATGCAACGTATATGATGTTACATAATATATATCCTATGTACTATACATGTATAATATTAAATAATAAGTATTTAACAATGGACGTTTCCTTATTTAGGACTGGTTCGGAAAATAACGCACCTGTTCTAGCAAAATGTAAAACCTTGTGATGGCATCTGAACTACCCAAAATATAACCCAAATTTTTTAAATCAAACCCTATACCTCACGGAAAAAAAAACAAAATGCAATGCTTGCGATCTTGTTAATAATTCATGATAACGAAAAACATATTTAATGTCTTACCGATTAGATATGTAACTAAATAAATAAAAATGTGGAATAAAACTAATTTTATGGATTTAAATCAGTAAAATTTGTTTTCTTCCATGTGTACTATTCGAGTAAATATAAAAGGTCATTAAATAAAAATGTGTAATTTATATCTGCGCGCGTTACTATGCTTGGTCAACGTGGAGGAGCAAGGATTATCAAATAAATGATTATTAAATAGCAGCTTAATGCTGGTGTGTTTCGTATGATGAGTGTAGAGAATCTGAGACCCTTTTTACCGGAAGGGAAGCATTCCATCTTAGTCCTCACGGGTGACCACGCATCTGCAGACCTTAGGGGTAGACATCTGCATTTTGATTCTTAATCGAAGATAGATGTAGATGTCCAAGGGCCACCAAGGGCAAGGGTTGTTCACGCTTATTCTATAATAAGGAGAATTTTTCAGATTGTTCTTTATATAAAACTGAAATACAAAGAAGACTACAGGTGAATTGTACCTTCGAGGACTAAGGTATGAACGCTACACAACCTGCGTCTATGGTGGCTTTTATTTATTTATATTTATTTATTTATGCTTTATTTGCACACCAAGTACAAAATGGCGGACTTAATGCAACAGGGCATTCTCTACCAGTCTACCTTCAGGCTAAGCAGAGAAAATATTGTGGGTGCAAAGCGCAAACAGCTAAGTAAATAACATCTATGTCTACATAATACGTACAGTATATATATATATATATATATATATATATATATATATATATATATATATATAAATATATATAAATATATACATACAAATATTAACTTAATACTACTTATTATACACAAACTACTGATATATATATAATTAAATATAGCATTTTATAAGGGTTCGGAACGAAACACATCAGTGTGAGCATATGCTGTTTCGCGGCAGATATACGTAGGTAACAGGGTGGCACCTCCCAAACGGTGCCATAGACAGAAAAGGAGTCAAACAACCTATTTAAATAATTATAATATTATGATGTTCTACGCCTGAGGTACAACAAGGTATTGCTTTACACAGTGTTTCTAACTTTAGTAAGACCTGGCTATGTGGATAATATTTTTATAATTCAATAGAATTGATTCTGAATGCTGAGGCACTTTTATCCAAAATATACACTCCATACGCGAAGTTAGTAAAATTCTTAATTTCGATTTATTTTCCTTATTTTTTTGTACCTGTATAAAACGTCGATAGAATTGATTAATTGAGATTTAAGCGGAAAATAAATTTAATTGATTGCTACATAATTACTGCGTCGCTGATTAGCACAGGCAATAAGTTACTCAACATAATTCGTAGTGCAGTGTACATTGTCATTTTAAAACTATTTAATACTAATATTTGTCGCGATTAATGACGTCATGTATACCTAGTTATTTTTCCTTAGTTCCGGATCTAACGCATGCTGCTCGTATGCAACTCATGTGACAGCCTGACAACATCTCGCGACAGGGAAATTTTCCTCCATTCATTATAATACACGGATCAGTGGCGGCGTCACTTGTAAACATGTCTATTTTATACTGACTATAATAGCTCTATTTTATACTAAGTATATAGCATTCACAACTATGATTGCAAAATATTTGGGGTTCAAGTGAACTCCAACAACATGCAGTAAAGTCTTGTGACGGTCCTTTTTCTGCTTCAACTATCTCACATCCCAAAAAAGTGTCCAGTAGTGGGACTTTTTCATTTTGCTTTAAAGCACTGACCGATTTCATATTATAACACGTTTTTTTTCTTTCAAAAACCTTTACCCCCACACTAGGATTTTCTCGTGTATCGTGGAGGCAATTTACACACATTGTTCGGGATTCGAACCCGTGGTCTTCACCGTCGCAACTCAATGCCAAGCCACTGCGCCATAGAGTCGTCAACATTAGTATCCATAGTAAAGTTAAGAAATTAAAATTGTAAATATAAGTAAATATAACTGTACAGCTCAAGTTTTATTTTTCTCGTTAAAGAAATATATGAAATACATTAACTTCGCAACACCTTCCAACACCTTGCATAAAATGAAATGATACAATAAAACGCTGAACTTATATACGCTTTTTGTTGGATATATTCCATCAGATTCCTCTGAACAATATGTGTCAACTATAAACAACATGGTACAGAGTTTTATTACCTCATTAAAACTACTCAGAACTTGCGATCTCTTCCAGTACAAAACGCCAACTCTAAGTGTTTCGAGCACTACTCGAATGAGCGTAATGCCTTTGT